TCACCAATGTAAAATTTCAATATAATACAGGTTATGTTAGAATTCAATTATTAATTAAAGAAACTACAATCCCTTACGTATACGTATGTGAACATCTTTTTTTTCTTTTGAAATAATAATCATCATCATAATTTGTATTTTTATAAATTTATATAGCATTTAAAATTCACTTATCTTTAGTGCTGAAACTCATTTTGGGGTCATCTACAGACATTAGTATCTGAAAAGAATAAAACATCGAATGCTGTTAGAACATTTGACAAAATAATATGGTTATGTTTATATTGAAAATATTTTTATGAGAAGGTAAGATCATTTCAAATAAGCATTCCCATCTCTGCATTTTCTGATATTTACCTTGTCTTATTTCACTACATAAAAAGAGGTTTCCATCTCTGATTTGTGTGTGTACCATGGTAGAAGAATACAGGTAGTCAAATCAACACAGCTGCTGGGACAATGAACTGTCAAACTGATTTTGGAATTGAAAATGTTGAATGAAAAAGTATTGAACAACCTTCGATTTGAATCGTATAAGAAAACATTTATAAATCTACTTATTTTTGACTAACATGGGTTTGAAACTATTTTTAAAAATTATTACCGAATGTCTTTCAATAATCCAAAGATCCAGTACATAAGAACGAGTTGAGAGAGCAATTTGGACAGTCGAGTTACGAAGAGTTCGTATGCATAAATTTGTAAAGCGATGTGATATGAACGGTGATTGGTTTTGATCATGCATAGTCAAATATATTTTGCATGGCAGAAGAATACAGGTAGATGCATCAACGCTTGGGAGCATTGATATGTCAAAAAATTAAATGTTTTTTTTTTTTTTTTTTTCAAATATAAGTAGATTTTTCTTGTTTTCTTATACTACGTCAGTCGGAGGCTATTATAACTCGCGTTTTTCAAAAATTTTTACGAATTTAAATAATGTTTCATTTGCGATTTTCAATATCAAAAGTGGTTTGACAGTTCATTGTCCCAGCAGCTGTGTCGACGCGTCTACCTATATTGTGATTGGACAGTAGCACGGAAAAAAGTTTGCATATGAACATACTCTAAGAACTTTCCAGTATCATCAGCTGATTGAAAATTTAGCGATTTAAATACAACTAGGTACACATGGTACAAGAATACAGGTAGACGCATCGCTGGGACAATGAACTGTCAAATCGATTTTGAATAAAAAAATTATTCAAATTTGTAACAATTCTTGAAAAAGAATTGTATCGTGATACTGAATATCCGGAGGTACCATTTTCATTACCAATTTCTAGGCAAATCCTTGGAAAATGTGGGAAAAATCATAAAGACATCGAATATCAGGAGGTACCGTTATATGGGGGCTATAGGAAAACGTGGACCAATACATACAATGTTTCGCCACCAGAGCTAGAACCCATTGCGAACTACAAATACCAATTTTTAGATAAATCCATAAAAATGTTGCGAAAATCATCAAAATACCGAATATCGGTTGGTATCGTGTATCGCTATACGACAAAGTGGGCCTCTACATACAATGTTCCACCACCGGAGCTACCGGAGAACCCATTATGACCTACAAATCCCAATTTTTTTGCAAATCCTTAAAAAATGTGGCAAATCTCATCAAACTACCGAATATCGCGAGGAACCTTTATATGGGGGCTACACGACAACGTGTACCTCTACATACAATGTTCCGTCACCGTAGCTTCCGGAGAACTCATTATGACCTTCAAATACCAATTTTTAGACAAATCCGTAGAAAAATGTGGCAAATCTCATCAAATTACCGAATATTGGGAGATACCATTATATGGGGGGCTATACCTGGACCTATACACACAATGTTCCGCCGCCGGTGCTAGAGCCTATTATAACCCACAAATACAAATTTTTAGACAATACAGAATATCGGGAGGTACCGTTATATAGCGGCTATATGAAAACGTGGACCCATACATACAATGTTTCTCCACCGGATTTCAAGAGACAGATAGACAGACACCTCCTTTTCAGAGTGAAGGGTATGAACATGGTACAAATAAAAAATGTAACCTCATTTCCAGTTAGCATTCCCAGCTCTGCATTTTCTGTAGTTTACCTTGTCAAAATTCAATGCATAAAAAACATCCCATCTCTGATTTTGTGTGCATACAATGAATTTATGAGTATAAATTTTGACGATGAGATGTTGTCAAAAATATAAATTTGAAAAAATTCTTAGTTATACCATGGGTATAAAAATATTGAATATCCTAAAGCATTACTCATGGTATAATTTTTACTGGTAACAGCAAGTCCCAGCTGATTTGATTCTATAATAATACTAGGGTCAAAATCGATTAAACGTTTTGTGATTTAATTCCATTTCTTGATATACAGTAGGTATACCCTTATTTGATATAAAATTTCTCTGCAGGGCAATGTGAACAAATTTTTTGCCTAATAATGGAAAAAAATCGCCGTTGTACTTAACAAAACATCAAGGCGATGGTTCGGAAACTTTTTCGCAGTTAAGGAACAGCGACACCACGTTAGATAATATATTCGTATATTTCATGTTTCCAAAAACATGTTGCAAAATGTAGAATACCTTATGTATGTATGATGTTTGGTTTCAACTTGAAAGGGATGTTGCCTTTTCCGCGATTTTCTGGAGATAGCTTGAAGTGTTGAGAGATTAGGACCAATAGCTAACCACTATACATTCAGGGTAATGATGTCAAAGCAAATATAAATTAAATATTAATTAAATATTTCAAGAAGTATTCTTCTGCATTTTCAATTTAATAATCCAAATTCCAAAAATGTATATTTTTGAAATTAAAATAATTTATTGAAAATTAATTATTTTGTTTACATTTTTAGACACATAACTCTGACACCTCTATTACGTACAAAAACGAATTTGTATGTGGTTGTTGCTGTTATCTGTATTATTCTCCCATGAGCATTACTATAAATTCATTTTTTAGATTCTAGAATTCATTTTTTTATTTAAAATCACAAAATACTTGTATATACAATTTTGAATGCATATAAAATAAAAAATGCGCACCGGGTTCAGCTATTGTCTAAATAGGTCAATGTGTTCCCATAGCCCCCACAATACAATAACGGTAGCTACCGATATTCGGTATTTTGACGATTTTCTATAGCCCCATCCTCCCAATATACGGTATTTTAAAGATTTTAGCCAAACGTTCGTAATCAGGAGTCACACATAATCTCCGAATATTGGAATTTCGTCATTTACAGACATATTTTCATATGAGTTATTAAACATGGTGGTGGTAGAAGGTATAAAAAGATCGGTTCCAAATAATTTATCAATTTTCTTAATTAAACCTTCTACTTCATTTCTTTGTCGAGATTGCTCTATTCCAGAACCTGCAATAATCTACTAGTTTTGAAAATTTTTTCGATATCATAATGGAAAAATCCGTTATCGTAGGAAAAAAATTTAAATTCTTGTAGTTCCGGAGCGTACCATTTGGACTTGGTTGCGGATCTGATTATTATTATTATTTAAATTGAGGTACCTTGAATTCATTGTACCAAGACTTATTTTTAAATCTTAAGATTATAATATATTCGTATTAATATGCATCCGAAATAAATATTACTACTTTTAATAATTTGTGGATTAGCTTACCTTTGAAATTTCAAACTAAATTAAAGCATATTTCCTGGATGAAGGACAAAATGCAGTAAATTTGATACAACAGTTTTTAAGAGATGTGTTATTGTTCCAGAGCTAAAAATGTGTATATTATCTTTATTTATTATAACAATTAAATTGTATTATTGCCCAACTACATGTGTAGTAAATATTCTGCATGAGATTCATCAGTTTCCGCTTAGATGACATCTAGAAAAATAATAACATTCGTCTGCAAACATATGGAACAAAAAGAATTATTTATTTTTAAATTATTTTTTAATATATCATTGGTAACTTTTTTCATTCCATAAAAATATCATGGCACAAATGGTTTTGAAACAGTGAAAGAAGACAAGATATATTCATAGTCTTTTTGATGATATACTTCTTTTAGTGAATTTATGTATGGCCGTCTGTCCTTCGGACGTGAAGGCCTACGACGGACTCAATTGATATTGATAATAATCGGTACAAGTATAGATAAAGCTCTCATATATATATATATATATATATATATATATATATATATATATATATATATATATATATATATATATATATATATATATATATCTTCGTCTAACTTCACGTTGATTGTGAGCGAAAATCATAGGTATGTCTTTAAAGTTTGGCTATAGCTCCCATATACATGTTTTATCCGATTTAATATTTAGCTACCCAATGCCGTAAAATGCACTGCATAACAACGATTATGGGTTCAGGGATAGCTATTACTCGCATGTATATATGTCAACCCCTTTTTTATGTTTGAGTCTTCTCTAAGTCGTAAAATACACTCTATATCAATGATATTTGGTATGGGAAAATCAATTCAAATTACGATATATCTCCCATACATTTATTATGAGTAGCTTTGCAAAATATGCATAGTGGTGTAGGGTTTCATAAAGAAAAAATTAATTCCGGTCCAAATGGAGAATATGTAACTACTTATACTTTTAGTTACACGTAATCAAACTAAATCTGTGTTTTCTCAAAACATATTAAACACTGTATTTTCTCAAAACATATCAAATTCAGCCGTATATTTAGATTTACGTTAAAAAATATATTTTTTGTGAGAACATTAGACGTGAAATAGCCGTCATCAGTTCCATTAATTGATACCAACTCAATCAAGAATTCGGCAAAAGCAGAGACATTCGAGCCTAGACTAATAGTTTCAATCGACACTTCAATATTCTTTCTGAATTTGTGAAACATTTTAGCATGTATGAAAAAAAATGATCTGTATATCCATTCCTCAAAGTAATCGTATGGCGATTGCACATTATATTCAAAATAAGAGCAATACCTCAATAAAAATAAAAAAAAATGATTTAATGCATATTTATAATAACAAATTTTATTAAAAATTGAACAACTCGTAACAATGAATTTTTCGATACAATTGTTTTTTATATTTAGAATAGACTATGCACGGCAACGAAACGAGGTGTGCTACAAATTCCATTTGCCGAAGAAATTTAATAACTGTAGAAGGTATATTTATAGCAAAACGGTTTATTTGTGTTCATAATTTTCAAGCTGGGCCAATCAGTTTTTTATCCGCTAAGAAAATTACAACACAACACCTCCTGTTATAACAGTTTTAAGTGGGATACAGTAATCTTGGAGATGTAATGAAACTTTCTCAAGTAAATTTAAAAGTTTTGAGGCGATTTCCAGTTTCAAAATTAATAACAGAGGAGAAACTCAATTTCAAACTGGATAGAGAATTTCGAAAATCGACAAACTTGTATGTTCTCCACGGATTGTTGTTGTTGAAACACTGAATGTGACCCACATGAGAATATGATATGCATATGATAATATCATCTGCAAAGAATCGAATAGGTCACCACAAAAGTGCCATAATGATATAGAAGGGTCTACAATTCAACTGTAATTTGTTGCCGTGCATGTAAAATGTAACATATCTAAAGACTTTAAATTTAAACAACAAACTGAAAAACATCAGAAAAATTGAAAGATTGGGTTAGTTTCAACGCAAATATTTAATTATCAAAATAATCTAGCAAGAAGGCACGTAGTAGTGACATATTGAAAAATTCCTTCATATTCCTTAGGTGGAGAAATTTTGGCATCTATTAAGATTTGAGATTCATACAGTGTTGGTAAACAACAAGTGTTATGTATGGCTATCGTTTTGAAATAAGATGTGAAAATCGGAGAACATACATTCACTTAGATATAATAAAAAATTACATGTTTCCATGTAATAAGCCACTTGAAATTGATGTCACTACTACTTCTTTATACTTAAATTGCGTTTTTTACTTTTCCTTATACACTAATGTTAGTAAGAACTCGTTATATATTTAAAATGTGTTGTCGTATAATCGAGTGTTCCAATATCGCTCCGGGTGCCATGTAACCATAATTAGAATTCTTCATCTTTATCCTTGGACTTGGGATCTTCCATTTCGTATTCCTCGCCATCGTACCTACTTGTCAGGAAGAGACATAAAGAAACAAATATGCAAAGAAATAAAATTAGTGCTGTTCCAAAATAACCCTATCAAAAATTATTGTCCATGCGTTTTAAATAAATATGCAATTTCAGGTTACAAGGAAAGTTATATCATGATATAATCATATGTTGTTTTTTCATCATTACATTTTGTATTTATCAAAGTATAGTTTCTTAAAATATTCATTTGAAAGTTGTGCTTTGATATTATGTCTCGTCTAGATATTATAGTTTTATCTTTTTGCTAAAATATCCTTTTAAACCTTAATTGATGTTTTAAACAGTCATTAAAGCAGAATTCAATGTTTTATGAAACCTATCAAATCCGTGTTTGCAATTATGTGAAGATTCTTTGATTCCCTAATAACCCTAACAAAAATAACCCTTTAACAACTCTAAACTTTCCCAGTCTATATTTGCTCTGTACAAAAAAAAAACCTGCAAGAATCTACTAGGTTTGCAATTTTTTTGATATCATGAGGGAAAATCGATTAACGCAGTAACAACCTGTTTTTGTAACAGTTTTTTTTTTATTCGTTTGGAATCTTGGCGAAAGAAAATATATTTTGGGTTTTTGTAGTACATGTTTTTTCTGACATATCAAAGCTTTTCGGAAATGGACAAGTTTTTAAAATTTTTATAAACATAAAAACACATATTATAACGAGTACGTTTGAATACGAACGATTCGATGAAAAAAAAAAAACTTTTTTTACAAAAACAGGCTGTAAGAACTTTTACATTCTTGAAGTTCCTGAGCAATGCCTTTAAACTATTTCGACCATAATAATTAAAAAAAATCCTCGCATTTTATATATAATATATTTTTTTTAACATTTTATTAAAATAATTATTCATGGTAACATTGTCAATTTTAACTTTCAAATGAATTATTCCTTTCATCAAACCATTAATTGCATATCCATGTTACAAGACTTATCTTTTCATTGTAAATGCGATGAATTTCAATCGCAACTCCATGTTTATTTTTCTGCATGGATATCTAGAAAAAAAGGATTACCATTCAATATTTGTTTCAATCCTTAAATAATTCTGCCAGTATACACAAGCTATGAAACAATTTGCTAATCTCGGGTACGACCAACATACCAAAAATAAATCTACAAACTTGCGAACAATATTAACAAGTTAAAAAGCAGCAAGTTCGGCCGGGCCGAACTTTGAATAATTTGGAACGAATTTGGAAATTTTCAAAGAATAAAATCCGTTAAAATTTCTGTTAAAGTTTTAAAAATTCCGAATATAGCCGTTATATTTTGGTCTATACGACGGGGACTAACATAAGCTTTGGTTGTCATAAGTCATTATTATATTCAAATTCGAAATTTGAAATAAACGGTGAATAATGTAGCTAAAATCATCAAAATACCGTATATAGGGAGGTACCGTTATATCGGAGCTATACGAAGACCTGGATCTGCATACACAATTTTCTGTCACAGGCTGTAGCATCCATTACGAACTTCAAATACGACATCTCAATGTCGGTGAGTATTGTACCTAAAATCGTCAAAATACCGAATATAGGAAGGTACTGATATATGGGACCTATACGAAGACCTGGACCTGCATAGACAATTTTCTCTCGCAGACTGTAGTTCTCATTACGTACTCTAAATACGTAATTTGAAACTACTCCGGTCAATAATGACGCTAAAATCGTCAAAATACCGAATATTTGGAGGTACAGTTATTTGGTGGCTATATGAAGACGTGGACCTGCACAGACAATTTTCTGCCATAGGCTGTAGTTTCCATTTCGAACTTCAAATACCAAATTTGAAACAATTCAGGTAAATAATATTGCTAAGGTGATCAAAATACCGAATTATCGAGACGTATCGTTATATAGGGGCTATATGAAAACGTGGACCTACATGGCCCATTTACGAACTTAAACTGCCTACTGGAGAAATAAACATGTGCTTTAGCTTTCTATCTTAATTCGTTCGAAAAATAGCGTGATTACAACAGACAGACAGACGGACTTAGCTAAATCGACTTAGAATTTTACGCTGATCATGAATATATATACTTTGTTGGGTCTGACATGGGTATTTCGAGGAGTTACAAACGGAATGACAAAGTTAATATACCCTGCATAGTATGGTGAAGAGTATAAAAAATAGTTAGGCACATCTTATCCATCCATCGATGATAAGCCGTGAAAGCAATTCCCTCGTCTTTAAATTAATTAGTGTATGAACAAGCTGTTTGCAATATATTCTCAAACTTTTATGAAGCTTAAGGATTGTGATCGTAAAGATATAATACTATTCTCAAGGCATTTTGGTATGTTGGGCAGTGTTAATAAATTTTTGAACACACATACACAAGTATTTGTATATATTTCTGTAGTGGGATTCTTTCACTAATTTTTTGAGTTACCGACAAAAATCGGTAATTTTGAAACCCAAAATTTTGATATAAAAAATAAGTTAAAGTTGACAACATTGGCATTTATCAGTAGGTCTTAGCGAGTACTTTCATTTCGTCGCTAACATACCGCCAAATTTCGTTAATTACCGAAATTATTAGCATTTCAATTTTACCGACTTTTGTCGGTAACCCAGAAAATGAGGGAATTCCACTACTGGTGGGGGATTGTATTGTATATACAGACCGGGAAAGGTTATATAAAAACAAAAATAAACAAAAAAATTATTTGTGCTTTAAAAATCAATCATGTTAAAATCTTTATTGAATATAAAAAAGCGCTCAATTGTTAGGTTTCATTTCATTAAATAAATAATGCTTGGGTAATAACACACACATTTTAAAAATATTTAGCAATGACTTACAACTTAAGCTAGTTTGCAATCATTGTCAAGGTGTGTGGCTTTAGTAAAGGTCCTTTGAATTATGTGAAATAGGCACCAACTGTTTTGAAATGCTGAATATGTCTCCACCGAAATGCGTATTGCCACAGTCCAATATTGAGAAATTCTAAAACGAAAAAAATAATGGAAAATTAGCACATCTCATAGAAAAGTTTTTAGAAATAAAATGTTAAGTCCAAAATTTCAGTGTGGATTTTGTGTCATTTATCAGTCAAATGATGGGGAATCCGAAATAAATTCATCATTATATATTGCTTTTTATAAATTGTATAAAATCGGTTATTATATTTACCTATTGAATCATGAAAATGTTCCAAAATCCTGTTCCGTTCTCACAATGGGAATCTATAAAATGAAAGAAAATAATAATTATATTAAGTCTCTTTTTCTAAAACCATAGTTTTTTTCCAACAAATACATTTGTTAGTAATTCAGAATGGATTTATTGTCATTTAACGGTCAAATGATGGGGAATCCGAAACAAATTCATCATTTAGAAAAGTGATTAAATACATAAGCTATGAATTTACATATTAAACAATTTATTTACCTTTTTAACAAATGTATACCAGGGGGGTCAGAATGAAATCATCCTAAAATCGAAAATGTAAAAAAACAGATATTATTGATTGTTCCTTTTATAAAGTTTTAATGTGTTAATGTTTGTGTTGTCAGCAATTAATTTTGCGTTGGAAATGGGAAAATTCTCTTCATGATTACTCAAAGCGAGCTGGGTTAGTGTTTTCATCATAATGATTGGAAAAAGGGATAAGAAAAATTCTTAATATTCAAAATGAAACAAGAAAATGTTCTTTCTCTCAAGTTTTATTTTCAAAATTTACCTTGGATTTGGACACTTGTCACATGATTTTTAGGTCAGGTCGGCATTTCACGATCTGCAATTGAAAATAAATAATAAATTAAAACTTGTATTTAAATACTTGTTAGGATTTAAAGAAAATAGCAAAAAATCAGCAATTAATTTTTGCGTTGGAAATGGGAGAGTTCTCTTCATGGCTTTTCAAAGCGAGCTGGGTTAAAGTTTTCATCATTGTAATATTTTGGTATAATTTAAAAAATAAAATGTTTTTAATTACCTTTGTAATATATGGCAGACAGGGAGGATTCGCAATGGTTTGCCGTTGTCGATAAAGGTTCACTGTAAAATAAAACATATAAAGGTAAGTCCATTGTTCTTGTTTAAAAAAAAATCTTTTAAATTGTATGAAATATCAGCAATTTATTTTGCGTTGGTTAAGGGTTTGTTATCTTCATGGCTTTTCAAAGCGAGCTGGGTTAAAGTTTTCATCATGAATATTCATATAATTTTTTATTGAATTCACAATTTATTCTTACCATTTTCCCAAACCGGATCGGACCAACATATATGGTATTTACATCTTGCAGTGAATGTTTTACATCTTCTGTAAAGTAAAATAATAATACGAATTAATACGCGTTTTTGTTTGGTTACATTTTCTAAATTTAGTTATAAAAATCAGCTAATTATTTTGCGTTGGAATTGGGAGAGTTTTCTTCATGGCTTTTCAAAGCGAGCTGGGTTAAAGTTTTCATCATAAATAATAGTTAAATAGTGTATGGTGTCACATTATCCGACATCAAACAGTTTTATTTGGAAATTCTTTTTGTCTTTTATTCCTTCTACTGTTTTTACAGGAATGAGTAAGGCTGGAAATACATAAAGCGCTTATTTGGCTGGCTTAAGTCATCGGCTGGCTTCTTCGGAAATGAACAAAGGAGTCTAGGGCCAAAATCGAACTAGGTCAACCTAAAACTCCTTTGTTCATCTACGAAGAAGCCAGCCGATGACTTAAGCCAGCCAAATACGCGCTTTATGTATTTCCAGCCTAAGTCCAAGAAGAAAATTCAAAATAATTTGAATTTTAAGTACAATTTAAATATTATAGTATGCTTACTTTTTCCTTTCAGGCCAACATCAAAATTCTCCAACGTAAAAATGGTCAGTTCTTCTGAGCTAATGAGGCCAAAGAGTGTTTATGAATTGATCTGCAAAAGAGAGAAAAAATTGAATTTAATAAAACTTGTTTCAAATCAATTAAGTCATATTCATTTTAAATTTTGAGGATCAGCCTTTAAATTTGCGTTGGAAATGGGAAAATTCTCTTCATGGCTTTTCAAAGCGAGCTGGGTTAAAGTTTTCATCACATAAATATACAGGGTGATATGTAAAAACTGCAACCAACTTCAGACTGCTGTCATTTCTAAGCAACTCGTCCGACATCTGGTAAAATTATTGCAGCGACAGTTCATTATATTGTTTACAAGCGTATAAAGGCATTTTGGTGAGAATTTTTCAAAAAAAAAAAAAAAAAAAGTAAGGCTGGAAAACCACAAGTGGCTATCGTTAGAGCACTCCAGCATTTAAATGTTAATAAATCTTTTGTGTCTCGTACCATCGCTCGTTACCGTGATACTGGTACCGTAGCCCGATGTCAAGGAAGTGGACTTGATCGAAACCGGCGTCGCAGTGGCCGAAAAATGGCTCGTGAGCTGAACATATCGCAATATTCCATTCGGCAAATATTGAAATATAAACTCGGGGTAAAGCCATTGAAATTCCAAAAAGTGCAAAAACTTACAGCGCAACAGAAAGAAAATAGACTCAAAAGAGCTAAAGTGTTGCTTCGCTTGGCCGAAAGTGGTGAACTGCCGAATTTGGTTTTCTCCGATGAGAAAACATTCGTTGTGCAGCAGTTTGTAAACAAACAAAAAAAAAGAGGTCAGCTGAAAATGTGCACCTTCGGTCACCTCAAGCAAGCGCTTGACCGGGAATGGGCCAAAATTCAGCAGGGCAAGTTTCGGGCTGCGTGTGACGTTTGAAAGCCATAATTCGTGCCAAAGGTGACCAATTCGAACAAATCTAAACTTATTCTAAAATGTGATGCAATTTTCGACATTTTTTAGATTTTATTCAATAAAATTAAAAAAATGTAAAAATTATGGCGTTTGACTTTGTTGCAGTTTTTTTATCTCACCCTGTACAGGTAAGTAGATATTAAATTTACAATATTTTTTGCTTACCTTTCTACTAAGATTTAGATTCCATGTTATTTGTTCATAAAACTGAAAAATAAAAAAAGCTTATTAAATTATTTTGAAGAAAATAATAATAAAAGATTAAAACAATTGCATTTTGTTCTCAGTTCTACTATCTAGTTTGAAATATCTCACATTGTAGGTTTCAAGTTTCAAAAAAAAATGACATCATTGAAAACGACGAAATTGGTGAAAGGATAGATGGCCAATCGATTTTTATAGAGAATAAATTGCTTGCGTATTAGATTATTATTTGTCATCCAAAGGCAAATTTATAAAATTAACATTTTTAAGGTCTGCCTCCTTCATCCGAGACTTAAAAAGAATGACTGCGCTTCATCTTCTTTGTCATTGTCTTCCACAATAATTATTCTTTTAGAAATAAGGGATGATGAAGGATTGCCATCATCCTATTGTGAAATATTGATTTTTGCATTGTCCTTCCTTTAAGAGATGGTCAAAAGTTGATTGCATTTTTTGATAAAAAAAATTGGATACACATAACAAAACTCTCTTATACAAATTGTAAGAGAATATAAGGAACTGCACAAATTTTTAAAACACATTGAGATTGCTACACAAACAAGCAAATAAAAATAGATTTTTCAAACAAAGCAATGGGATTCGATTGCGCCATCTTCCTATGTTTCACAACAACAACAAAAATAAAAATACCAGTGCATATACATACCTTTTGTGTATAGAGAAATTATGTTGCATCAGTAGTATTCCAAATATGAATAGTCTGCAAAAAAGATAAAAGAAAAACATCAGTTTGTTCTCTTTTGTACATGGTTTATAAAAAAATATATAAAATATTTATTTCAGATTAAATTTTTTCATCAAGCTGCTTCAAGAGTAGCAAATAATTCGAATGAACATCATTTAGAAATCAAATCGTAAAGCATTAAAAAAATTTAAATCATTTTAAATCTTACCTTATTTAAAAAGAATTATCTGAAAACAAATCGGCGCCCCTTTACGCCTAAAAAAAAAACAAAGACTGTTATTAATATTGCCTCTAATCAATACAATTATGCAAAGTTAAAAAAAAATTGTAAACAAAATTATCAGCTATAGTTTTTCATCATTCTGCTTCAAGAGTAGCAAATAATTCGAAAGAATCAACATCATGTTGGCATTTAAGTATTTGTCTAAAGTAGAATTCCCAACAATGCTTACCTTTCACAATAAAAATGTTTCCTTTGGGTGGTGACGTCATATTTAAATAAGAGCACAAACACATTTCAAAACCATTTGATATCTAAAATGAAAAAAATATATATATCCATTTAGATATTGGTTAACCAAGAGGATTTTAAAATTAAATTATTTTAACTATCAGCCAAAAATTGTCATTCATTTCTTTTTTGTTTCCAAAAAAGTTTCAGCGACGAAAAATAATAGAACATCATTTAAAATCTACAACAATTTTAAAAAGACAAAGTTACTCACCATTTTATTTGTCCGAAATGTGGTTGGTTTTTCCTCCGATTAATGCGTGTGTTCTCTTCAAAGCGTCTAGCCCAACTGAAAATCTGTAAAGAAAATAAGAAAGCAGAACGACTTCCCTTCTAACCTATGACAAGGCACAACTGCATCGAAGAGTACGCCGTCACCCCTATTGTGCACTCTCTTATCTATAGCTATGTTTGTTCTCAGAAAATAAACAACAACAAAAATTAATGCAGCGGCATGACCATGTCCCCCCATAATGCTGTTGAAATAACAAAAAAATAAATATTTTTTTTAATCAAAACTTTGCAAAAGTTCTGTCCTTCATTATCTTTTCTTCAAAATTAGAAAAAATCATTTTCTATAACGAATGTTACTTCCTGGGGTATTCATTTAAAATAATAATTCTTAAACAGACTCTTGTACTGGAGGTTCATAACCTTCGGGTCTGTCAATGACGGCACCTTCAGCCGAGACAACGGCTTCGGTACTCTTGCTACCGCCATCACCGTGCAATTCCAACAATTTGGACAAGTCGAAACGGGGCTTCTTCAATACCTTAACCTTGCGGATGTAGACATCGTGCAATGGGTAGATACGTTGGCATTTCTTCTCAATATCCTTGGCAATAGAGTCCAAAGCCAATTTGCCAACCAATTGTTTCAAGTCAGACTTGGTGACTTCTTCGGTGATGATTTCGTGCATCTTAACGCGAATCTTACGGACTTGAGAGTGTTGGGCATAGCAGGTCTTGCGCTGGGATTGTTGATCCTTGGCGGTGAAGCCGATGCAGAAAACACGGAGCAAGTAGCCATCGGTGGTCTTAGCCTCAACAATACCTTCGATAAGGGTTTGCCATTTCTTGACCATTGATCTGGAAGTGAATTAGTAGATGGCAATAGATTAGTAACAACAAAAACACTTTTGGTGAAATTACAACATGCGTCTACACTATAAACAAATCAAAGAAAACACCGCATAGTGCAACGCCACAAGCACACACACATGCAATTTATATTGGCAATGATGCCAAATGGCCCGACACACCGTTGGTCTTGTTTTCTTGATGGACAAAACGTCGTGGCATTATTATTTAATGTATTTGTTGTTTATTATGATTATTGCACTTTTGATTACACTTTTTCTGTTTGTTGTTTATTGTGTTTTACTCATGCATTCACCATTGCAAACACGTTTTTTTTATCACACTGAGCACATTTTTCTTTAGCACGCGTACCTGTATTTATCGGTGGTCAAATCCATACCGTGGAAGTTGCACAAAATGTTACGGTCTTGCACATCTTCGGCGATGAGACGGAATTTACGGAAAGAACGTTCGGAATCGTTGTCCTTTTGCAAATCGCCCAAAGCGACTTCGAAGACACGGCCCTTCAAATAGTCAGAGGCGATTTTCTGACCCTGGGTGCGGTTGACCAAGGTTTTGCCAACCTGGCGGACAACAAACATGTTGGGGGCTTTAACATCGTACCAATCCTTACGGGAGAAGGGATCTACGACCTTCTTCTTGCCACCTTTTTTGCCTCCTTTGGAGAGTCCCTTATTTTTACCGACCGCCATCTTCAAAGTTCAAAGCGGAAAAAGAACGAGTCACGTTGATTGCGATATCAAAAAAGAAAGGAAACCGAAAAATGGCAACTGAACAGTAATTTTTCGTCAAGTTTTGACAGCGTTTGCGGCCACATTTCAGTGGTGTTACCATATCAAAACGAAATAATTTCCTAAATTATATATAAATAGAAAGTAAAAGAACACCAAAAGCTTCGAAATTTGTTTGTGGCTACAAAGGTTACTTATTTTTGTTGGAAGAGATTCATATTTTCAGTATAACTCATTTTATTTTGCACGAAAATTAATCAATATGGCTACCCCGAACAAAAGTTTTAACGAATATTTTCTGAACATTTCCCAACATGTGTACAAAAATACAACCCTGCTAGCGTAGAGAGTTTATGTGTATACATAAAATCTGGCATCTCATTGATTATTTTAATGGCTTTGTTCGTTTACCTTATTAAATGGAATGCATAATACAATAACTATAAGTTAGGACATTATGTTCTAATGTTTATATAGTTTTAAATACAGATACAACTATTTCGAAATTTTTCAAGTTTAGTTTACAGAGAAATGCATATAAACAACAATCATGGTGAAGAAATTTCGCAGTTTTAAGAAGTTTTAAGGAATTCTCGAAATTTAAAAAAAAAATTAAAATTGGAGTTTTTTATTTATAAATATATGAAAGAGTGTGAAATGGACGAAAGAACTGGTTGCATTTGACAGCGCTACCTAAAATTCGGGGTACTTTCGGGAGCTACTCAAATGCGTAGGGCGCACAAAATTTCAAATTTGAACATTTTCAACATTGACAATTGAACAATGTCTTTTCTTGTGTGTTTGACCGCGTTACCTAAAATTCGAATTACTCAGTCGACGTTGCTCATCATAAAATTTAAACACATGTATTTATATGAGAGTTACCCAAATTTTGAACGTTTTTCAAAGTTGAACATGTTCAACATTAACAATTGAACAATTTCTTTTATTGTGTGTTGAAAATATAAATAAATAATACAAAAATATGAAAGTATCAAATTTTAAAACGTTATTATTTATTAGATTTTAAGATATAGACCTGACGTATTTGGGTAAAACGGACGTACAAAACCTTCTAGAGATGAATTTTTAAAATACTTTTAACCTGTCCCATCTCGCTGTGCACAAGGCATAACCATGTCAATGGAAGTCGGAAAAATGAAACTTTGTGTCAAATTGACCCTTAAAGTATGCGACAATTGGATTTGTTTATTTTACAATATTCTCACAAGTTTTTGAAATTGGAAAAAAACAACAAAACAAATGGAATGTTGGATATAATATAAGGTAATCTCATGATAATATCATGGTAGATCTAAGAACATAGGTTTACAATTTTTCAAATTTATACATTTGACAACATCTCATTGTCAAAATCTATATTCATAAATCCATTGTATACACACAAAATCAGAGATTTGAACTGTTTTTTATGCATTAAAATTTGACAAGGTAAGTTACAGAAAATGCAGAGCTGGGAATGCTTATTTAAAATGAGGTTACCTCTATTTCATTGTCAACTGTATAAATTTGAAAATGTTGTAAATATATGATTACATGACTTTACCTTCTTAGTTCTACCATGAGTAGGACAATGCAGTTTTACCCATGGTACAATGAATTCAAGGTAGGGCAGAACTACCATATGATTTAATTTTTTTTTATTTTTCTGGCTTAATATGTCAACTTCATTTGCTTATGTGTGTGTCTTCTTTTCAATAATAAAAAATTGTTCAGAAAATATTCAAATTCGGGTGTTTTCAAAAGTTGTGTTCCAGAACCTGCAAATTAGTACTAATTAGCACTAATTCTGCTACAACGCGTTCCCGTACTCCAAAAACTAGCAAAACTTGCAGCTCTCTCGAGAAAAAAATGGCGCTGAGTGGTGCACATTTCTGCTTGTTTTAGCTACATGAATTTGGCCGAGCAGAAATGTGCATATTGTAAATTTGACATTTAATTGGCAGGGCTAACAAGGTTGAGAAATGTATTGATACATTTCAATAAAGAAAATGATCAACTTGAAAACTAAAGGAAAAACTAATATTTGTCGTGCAAAAAACAAAAAGAGAAAATATGGAGCAACTGATGTATTCACTTTTGGATGATTCCAGCAGTGAAGAGGACTGGCTGAATGAGGAATAAGATTATTAATTATTATTATAAATTATTAATTTTAACTTATCGTCTTCAATACTCATTTTTTAAATGTTGGCGCTCTTTTCAGTAAGGTTTCACCAGTCCGATTTAGGCTGTTTACTTTTGGAATTTTGAATTTTGACATTTTATCGCATTTCTGCTAATTTTCCGTTCCCTTATTTTTTGAGCAAACCTAAATGAGAATGACATTTCGAACTGTTCTCTCTTCTGCTAGTTTTACTACTAAAAAAGTACTGGAACACAACTAAAATGTTTATTGCAACGAATGCATATACAAAATCTACAGTTTTTGTCGCGAAATAAACCATAAGAGATATATAGAACATGATATTGAAAATAAATTTTTACCATTCATTCAGTTTTCGCGGTTTTAAATTATTTATTCAAAATCAATGCAACAAGTTGTTTGCTTTTTTTTATTGTTTTGATAGTAATTCTGACATTACAAGCCAAACAGGTAGATACATGCAATTTTTTCAAAGTTGACCTACCTTCTCTTCATTGTACCATGGTTTTACCCAAAAATTGTACAATGTGTTGCCCATTAACGCAATATGCATTTTAAATAATTGTCTTTTTTTATTCAAAACAATACACACACATGCACAAAATGTGTATATGTTTTGACAGAATAAGGGCACCAAAAGATGAAAAACTGTATTTAGGGGGTAGCTTTGTTCTACCTTCTGTAATTGTGCCATGATGTTAAGGAAACTTTCTGGGTGTAGTTAGTTTCTGTGTAGTCCTCGAAAGACATTTTATTTTAGGTCACTATTTAAGGATCAGATCCCAGGAAAATCAGCTGGAAAATGTTAGCAATATCTTCACAATACCTGTAATATGGATTCTGAACTAAAACGCAATCTCGAGCTGACAATTTGTTGCAACGCAATTAAGTCAATCAAGTTCAATTGAACTGAAATGTTGGGTTGACAATCTTCTACTAGTATAATAGAAAGTGGGCCGCTCTATTATTTGTTCCCATATTTATCCCAGCTGACGCAAAATTCAACCATTGTTTAATCAAACCTTACATGACTATTTTAGACTTAATATTCTTCCTTGACTTTTATACACTTTAAAAGGCGTGAAAATTTAAGAATATTTGGTGGGAAATAAATCTAAATTTCTTGCTATCTGTACTCTAACATTTAAGGAAGAACGACAAAATATAAAAAATGACAAGTGATGTACATCAAATAAAAAATGAATTGTATTATTGCATCAGATTACCTTAGTAATTGTCCCATGAACCATCCATAGTATGGTGGAGGGTACAAAAACATTTCGTCTGATAGAGCCTTAACAGCGATAGGAGGTGACTATTGCTAAGTTCGCATGGCATGTGATTCGCACTCTATTCCTTGTTCGACCATTATTAAGAAATATCTACCTAATTCCGCACAAAAAATTTGCTGAGCGAACAAAGATTTTTGTTCTTTGTTCCATTCAAATCCCTCTCAGAACTAAGATAAAATGTGTGCCATCTCTAACAAGTGAGAGCATTTATCGAAAAAAAAATTATATCATTTGAAAATTAAAAATAAAAAATTTTATGCAATTTTAAATATTTTCGGGAAGACTGAAAATTATGAATGAAAACTACAATGTTGAATGGCGTATGTACATTCAAACGAAAGTAAATTTTGTTTTCTCTCTCATTCGAGGTACGCATTTTGTCCACGAGTTGAAATTTCCACAGAAAACTGGAAACAAAAGAGGCAATATTTTCAAAACTTTTGTATTGGCAGGAAAAATGTTTGACAAGTGTCTCTCCAGCAGAATTTAAAAACAGAAAAATTCAAAAATATGTTCAAAATGTCAACATTTACACAAAAAGTTGCAAACATAAATGGAAATTGTAAAATTAATGATATAATAAATCTTTGGGAGAAAACCACTTATACGACGCAAATCGGAGTCTGTTATAATAAGCATTTTTCACCAATTTTTCCAAATTTCAATAAATTTTCATTCAAGATTTTCAATTCCAAAATCGGTTTGACAGTTCATTATCCCAGCAGCTATGTGGATACGACTACCTGTATTCTTCTACCATGCTATCACTGAAACTGAATGCCATGCCTGATAGAAGAAGAAGTTTGTTTTGTTGAACATGTCTATTTGAAAATAGTTGAAAATATGAAAATAGAAAAGAATAATACAAATAAAATGAATAAATTAATTATTAATTAAGTGAATTGAAAAATGCTAGATATGGGCCTGGGTATTTTGCTAATTGAGTCATCATTTCGGCGTGGATTGTATTCTATAAGCTAGTCCCGCAGCTCATTTAAAGAATGTGTTCAGCTTGATTGCGTTTTTCTCATGTCTCATTCGTAAACAGCAGAGTACCCCGGGATTTTGCTTTCTGTTTATTTTTCATCGGGTATTGCTTTTTGTCCTGCATATTTGTTTCGTTGGGGACGTCTTTCATTTTGGTTTCTCATCATCTTATTTGTATCTGGTAGTATATATGGGATATCTTTTCCGAGAGCCCGCAGCATGCATAGCAGCATTTTCTCACCTTAAACAACAAAGTCAATCTAGCCACATTCATTTGTGGTAAACATTAACCGCGGATTTTTTTATGTGGAGTACTAATGGTCTGTTCCAAAAAATAAAAAGAACTATATAAATATTCGAATAGTGGAATTGGAAAAGTGTATACTAAAGTATGATGGAGCAAGTAAACAGCACTCGATATGGAGACACCGAGTGGGAGGCTCGCGAAGTAAGAGTCAACAACTATCCAGGATATACATTTATTACATTTATATTTACTACAATTGTGTTTTCCTTAATTCAGTCTCAGCGACAGCGCGAGTTGGAAGAAGCTCGAGCTCGGGCAGCTCAAATGGAGAAAACCATGAAGTGGTGGTCAGATTGTACTGCAAACTGGCGTGAAAAATGGAGTAAGGTACGTTCTTTTAGCTCAGCAACGCAAACCGCATTTCTGTGGTTACCACGATTTTGTTATGTCAATACAAACACACAAATAAATCCTTGCATTTTGAGTATAGGTGCGCAATGAACGCAACAAAGCTAGAGAAGAAGCTAAACAATTAAGATCAAGCTTGGAAATGGCAATGAAGGAGGCTAACTCTTACAAACGCGAGAAAAATGATCTGGAAATTCAAATCTCTCAGCTTAAGAAAGAAATGGAGAAGGTGCACTCGCTTATGATGAAGCATGCAGGACAATTTCATAAGACCGGGTAGGTTTGAATATAATAATTTGAAAAGCAAATTCATACTTGTGTTTTTCATTTAGGGTGGCTGACACAGGTGAAGAAGCTGAAGGGAATGTACGAGATACTAACAATTCGCCAGACATGTCTTCCGATGGTCTGAAAAATGTTAATAGCGAAGATGGTTTGGTTACGAAATCTGCTGGAGGCGATTTGAAAGATCTGGACATCGAAGAATTTATTTTGAAGGGGGCAATGCCGAAAAACTTAACAGATATGGGTAAACTTTTATTTAATGAATTTTAATTATAGGCAGTACTTGATTGTCATTAATATTACGACTCATATAACAAAAAAGATTCTTATAATGAAGTACGGAAATTACTGCCCAAAAAGGCATATTGAGCAAGGACATTAATATGAAAGAATATGTACGACAATAATCTTCAAAATAACCATTGGTTTTATGGGACATAAAGTAAAATGTTTTGAAGGCACTAATATATTTAGATACTATGTTCTTAAAACTTTACATAAAATAATATTTCCCCGCCATGTTTTAGATGAAGTTTCTGCCGAAGAAAAACGCTTAATTCAACAACTATCTAAGGATGAATTTGACGAAGATTATTTGCTACAAAAAATTTCTATGTTGCAGTTGCGCCTTGATGAAGCCCAGAAAACAGTTCAAGCGGAAAGAGAGTAAGAACAAATAGCATTTCACATAAATATCTTTTATTCATGTATTTATGTATGTAGCGAAAAGCATATTTTACATAAAAGTATTGAAAAGCTTACGTTGGAAATACAGGAGGTACGAGATCGCCAAGAAGAGTTGAGAACAGCTAAACAGGTATTCGTATAAGTAATTTTTCGCTACCATAAAAATTAACATCAATTTGGAATGAAAAACAAATAGGAAGCTGTTCGAGAATTGCTAACTCTGCAAGAATCTCACAGAGCCGAAATGCGTATTATTAACAATTCATTGGTCGAAGAGGTATCATCTCGTGAAAATCTTGAAAGACGCTTGGGAGAGTTACGCACAGAATTGGAAAGACTTCAAGCAGAAAATGCATCAGAGTGGGGTAAACGTGAACGCTTGGAAACTGAGAAACTAGGACTGGAAAGGGATAACAAAAAATTGCGTAGTGAAATCCGTGACTTGCAAGATCGATCTGATCGAAAGGGTCGTCCATTGCCAGCTACAGATGTTGAAGTTCGGGCTTTACAACAAGAATTGTCTGAAAAAACAAAGGTACTATTTTTGCAATTTATATATCGAAGTCTATAATTATTTAAAATTTTGTGTTTATTTTAGGAATTAAGTGAAATGAAAATATCACATTCCAAGTTAAAAAAATTACTAGCTGAGACTAATACTGAGTTGGGCCATGCTGTGAGACGAGCTGAACAATATGAAGCTGAGGTAAGTTCTAGCTAAGCAACAGCAAGCTGATTTGGATTGTTAACACAAATATGCCAGCTATAGAGACTTTTGTGCTGCCCGCGTTCATAAATATGACTATAAATCTGTAATGTACAAAAAATATCGGTTGAGGTAATGAACAGAGAATACATGCATACCACCAATCATGAAACAAGCTCAAAGAAGCCCGATCTGTGCAAACAGGACAGTAATCACAGCATATATGCGACTTAAAACTGAATGCTAAGATCATTAAATATATGTGATCAGCTCTTGAAGACAATATTGAACCCCTGGTTCCCAACAGATTCAATTTGCCTCTGATGAATGTGTATGGGGACACATGGTAGAAAAAATGAGAGTTGTGGAAAACTTATTAGTCCAGGTTAGGACCGTTAAATTGTACAATACAAAGTGAGCAATTTGTAACGTTAAAATTCCTGTAGGAGTAGATTAGACTTCAAATATTTAAATGGGTATACAGGGTGAGATGAAAAAACTACAACAAAGTCAAACGCCATTATTTTTACATTTTTTTAATTTTATTAAATGAAAGAAAAAATGTCGGAAATAGCATCAAATTTTAGAATAACTTTAGTTTTGTTCGAATTGGTCACCTTTGTCACGAATTATGACCTTCAAACGGCCAACGCCCGAATGTTGCTCTGCGGTATTTTGGCCCATTCCCGGCGAAGCGCTTACTTGAAATGATCGACACTTTGGTATTTTTTAGTGCCAACCTTGTTTTCCAAAATACTCCAGACACAATAGTTCAACGGATTGGTATCCGGAGATTTTGGTGCGACCAAAATGTTGGCGTTCCCAAAGCTGTAATACACCCTCCAGAATATTTTCGCGATAATATTCGGCTTTTGTTCCGATCCCACGGTCGATTTACACGAGCGGAGAGCGACCATTGGCTGTTATGGCGGCCCACACAATCAGCATGGCCGGCGCTTGAGTTCTGGTGGCCAACCGAAGGTGCACATTTTTCGCTGACCTCTTTGGCAAGTAAACACTATCATTTTGTTTGTTTACAAATTCGGCAGTTCACCACTTTCGGCAAGCGAAGCAACTCTTTAGTTCTTTTAAGTCTATTTTCTTACAGTTTAGGTGTAAGTTCTTGCACTTTTTGGAATTTCAATGGCAATACCCCGAGCTCGTTTTTCAATGTTTTCTGTATGGAATATTGCGATATGTTCAGCTCACGAGACATTTTTTGGCCACTGCGATGCGGGTTTCGATCAAGTCGCTTCTTTACTTTTCGAACCATTTCTGCTGATGTTGCTATTTTCTTCCGTCCACTTCCTTGACGTCGGACTACGCTACCAGTATCACGGTAACCAGTGATGTTTACGAGACACGCTTGAATTCCATCACGAATAACTTTTTTTTCTGGAAAATTCTCACCAAAATGCTTTTGTAAGTTGTAAACAATACTGGAATAATTTCAATACTGTAACTGGAATAATTTCAACAGCTGTCGGACGAGTGGCTTAGAAATGACAGTAGTCTGAAGTTGGTTGCAAATTTTTTATCTCACCCTGTATAGAAAAGGAAAATAATTGCAAAAACACATTAGATTCGAATATCTCCCATTTTTTCATGAAATAGAAATAGGATAAATAATGAATTAAATTGCTTAGTTCCAATCCCTTTCCCTTCTGATGGGTATATTTTTCTTGCAATCATTTACTAAAGTGAGTGTTTTTAATAGGTAATAATGCCGTTATAAATGTCGGTATAATATCTAATATTAAACTGTAGTACACAGTCCTTATGATCAAAAGTCTGGACATTATTTTTATGTAAATAGATGTCATTCAACTTTGCTTTCCAAAAGTTTAAATAATGCAATTCGTTAAACGACATATTTGTTAAAAAAAAATATTTATTTTCGAAATAATATATTTACAGTTCATAATTGATATTATTTTAATACAATTTTTAAGGATTTTGGTATTACATTTTTTAACAAAGCCAGATTTCTCCAACTTTATTTTGTTACTTAAAATGGACACACTTATTTTCGAATCTTATTCAACGAACTCAAAAACATTGGTTTTATAAATGCATTGGAAACGTACCCCGGTACTCAATATCATAAATTTGTTAATTTGCAAATGCAGCAATGCCGGTGATAGCACGACCCAAAATTAGAGCATGAATATCATGTGTACCTTCGTAGGTATTCACAGCTTCCAGGTTCATGACATGACGTATTATATGATATTCATCAGAAATGCCATTGCCACCCAACATATCACGCATGGTGCGTGCAATTTCTAAGGATTTGCCGGCATTGTTGCGCTTGATCATCGAAATCATTTCGGGGGTATGTAATTTCTTATCCTTTAGACGGCCGACTTGAAGACAAGCTTGCAAACCAAGTGCAATATCAGTGCTGGCATCGGCCAATTTCTTTTGTATCAATTGATTAGCTGCCAGAGGACGTTTAAATTGTTTGCGATCCAAAGTGTATTGTCGGGCAATTTCAAGGCAGGCTTCGGCTGCACCTAATGCACCCCAAGCAATGCCATAACGAGCATTATTCAGACAACCAAAAGGTCCTTTAAAGCCCACAACATTGGGCAAAAGATTTTCCTCAGGAACATGTACATCATCCATTAGAATCATACCAGTGGGGGAGGCTCTTAGAGAAAATTTACCCTGAATTTTGGGTGTCTCTAAACCTTTTGAAGATTGTTCACGATCAACAATGAAACCACGAACCTTACCATCTTCTCCCTTGGCCCATACAATGATAACATCAGCAATTGGCGAACTTGTAATCCAAGTTTTTGAACCATTTAAAATATAACATTTTGATTTGCTATCGTATTTGGCTCTAGTTTCCATGCCAGCAGGATCGCTGCCGTGATTAGGTTCAGTTAAACCAAAAGCACCTGAAAAAAAAACAATATAAATGTTATCTCTTATCTGTCTTAGATTATTTTTAACACTTCAATATTTGTTAACACTCTAACGTTTCAGATGATACTTGTCTCGCAAAAAGTAAAGCATGCATACACATTTAACTCACCAATTAATTTTCCCTGAGCCATGCGGGGTAGATATTTTTCCTTTTGTGCATCTGTACCATAATCATAAATGGCACCCATGGCCAAAGAGCTTTGTACGCTCATGGCCGATCTATAGGCAGAGTCAACACGTTCGATTTCTCGTGTCAATAAGCCATAGGCCACATTGGAGACACCGGCACAACCGTAACCAGTCAGGGTGCAACCCAAGGCACCTAGACTTCCGATTTCTTCCATTATTTCCTTATGGAAAAATTCTTCTCTGTTTCCTTTGGTCACTCTGGGTAGTAGAGTAGTTTGACAGTAGCTGTGAAACGAATCGCGTATGGCAATTTCATCTTCGGTCAATTGCGATTCCAAATTTAATGGATCTTGCCAGTTATATTTGGGTGCTTCAGAAGATTTTGTGGCAAATGTTGCCCTGGACACTAATGGACGCAATTTTGTTAACAAGTTCTGAGCAATCATTATGTTTTAATTTTTATATTTTGCACAAGAACAAATCTACGTTAGATAAGTTTAATTTATTTATTTTAACACGCACAACAACAACGACAATGACGACGAGTAGTCAGGCACACACAATGACACAAAATCAGCTGCTTAAGTCTCTATCATCCGCGTACCCAGAGTGTTCTCACTTGACTGAATGAGGGGGTCTATGCTGTGCGTTGATACGGAGACACAAGACGATACAACCACACAAAACACCCATGGCGTGTTTCCAGCTCTCTTGATAAAAATACTAACCTTATCAGTATTCGCTCTTGGTATTCTCATTTTTACTTGATATGCTGGCACATGCTAGATTGTTTTTGTTGTACAGTCAATTCTTTTTAATAACAATTGAAATATATAAGTTATTTCATATTATTTTAGACTTTTATATAGTCGGAATTCGGAAATTAAAAAGAAAAGCACCACAAAAAAATGTGTGAAACATGGTTTTGAATAAATTTATTTAAGATTGCTATGTTTTGTTTTTTTTTTAGGATTTCTTATTGTTTTCAAGTTGAGCATTAAAAGGGCATTATGACACCTTGAATTCCAAGTGTCCTTTTTTATTTTGAAATTGGATTTAGACTAAAAGTTGGCAAATTTGCAAATTTCCAAAACAACATAAGGAATACGTTCTATGTCCAAACAGGAAATGTTTTTAAAGAAACATTTTTGAAATTAAGTATTTCTTAAGGCGCATAACATTTAGTTGGATTTGATTGTTTGTTTATAATTCATCGTATTAGGAAAATTTTCAGTTACTTGACAAGATCCTAGAATGACATTAAAAATTTTGTTTATTAAAATTTACCATAGATTAGGTTAGGCTGAAAAGAGGGGCGAAATATTCACCTAAAGTCCTTATGGACATACACATAAGCCAGATTTAGAACTGTTTTGCGCTTTAAAAGAAAAACTGCTTCCCATGAAGAAAATTTAACCTAACACACTGTATGTTTTCGGGTCGTTATTACAAATTACATTTTTGATTCCACATATGTTAAGATTCCTTTACCCCTGAAATTTGTAGGATCCCTGCCAAATAAAATGGAACTACTTCATGCCTACCAAGGGTTATGACAAATACAGTCGTCTTTTGACAATATTGACTCTGCATCCATATAATCGACAAGATTTTATATACATAATGTAACGATTTTTTACAAATACACTTCGAAATCGCAAAAAACATTGTATTTATTTTCTATGCTAGAACTAGTGGTTTATTTATTTTTTTTACATTCGATATTTTTAAGATTTTAACATAATTTTTAACGGATTTTATTGATTTTGAGAATTGCCAAATTCGTTCCAAATGTTGGAGGGTATTCAAAGTTCGGCCGGTCGAACTAACAGCTTTTGTACTTGTTTTTACCAAAGTGTTCAATTAAATCATGCTTACATGAGCCTATTCAAATTTATTTCTATTGAAATCTCGTGTCTAATCTTGTAATTTGGTCCCTGGACGAAAATGCAGAAATAGCATACAGAAAACCATCCGAAACAACATATTTATCCAAAAGTCCTACACTGACACATTAGCCCTGACATCTACTACATGTTTTTAGACCAATTATCTGTTTCAGTACCTGCAAGAATCTACTTGTTTTGCAATTTTCTTCGATATAATAAAGGGAAAATTGGTTATCGTAGTCTAATTTTTTACGTTCTTATAGTTCTGGAACAAACCATATATTTACCTCAATACAGCGAAGAATAATTTGATTTTATTATTTTACAGGTTAAACGTTTACGACAACGCGTTGAAGAGCTAAAACGCGAATTGGCGTCAGCCGAAGATGAATTGGATTCTGCTGTTAATCAAGTGCGCCGTTTACAAAGATCGAATGATGAGCTGGTTGGACAAAATGAAGGTTTACAGGTTCAAATACAACACTTACAAACAAGGTTTGAAATTCACAATTTTTATACTATACTTGGATTGTGGACTAAACATGTGACTAAATCAATTTAACTTTTTTTACATTTTGGAATGCTGCTGGTTTCTATTCTTATAATGCTATTGCTAACATTATTTATTTAAAATAACCCATATATACTTACACCTTATATTAGGCGTTTGCCCAGTCCTCAGTTACGCGGTGGAGGGAGCTATAATGGGGTTCAGTTACGTAGTAAAATTGCTGTTGAAATACCAAGCGATTGCCTACCAAATATTAATGATTTGCGACAAATATTCGACGATGGACCAGCACAGAGTAATGTTGTGGGTCTGCGTCATTCTACGGGTGGTGCCAATGAGGCATCATCAGCGAAACGTTCCAGTCACACTGAACGTACTCTGCTGCAACAGCAACAATCGAGTAATTTTTTTGATGCTAAAACATCACACGTTGAGGAGAATATATTTGAGTCGAAAAGTCGTAATTTGGAATTTGAAAGGGCAAAACAGAAATTTGATAATCCATCGCATTTGCATCACCAACATCATCACCGCCAGCGCGAACAACGTGACCGGTCATCTGGAAGGCATGGTGGACAATCCACTACCAATAGCAATGCTTCTAATTCAAATACCAGTGCTCCAAATAATCGAGCCAATTTAGTATTGCCATTGAAATCTAGCACAGCTATTGGAGGCAACAGCATGGGTAGTTCAAATTCTCCGAATCTGAATACGAACTCATCAAATCTCTCAAAAGACGACATAAATCGTCAATTATTTGAGGATCATTCACGTTCTTCGACGGTTGGTGGTAGCGGTATTGGTGGTGGAAATGCTGATTCCAAATTGTATGCCAAAGAAAACACAAACTCGGCTCCATCTGGGAATTATTCCAGAAACAGTATAAATCTAGATGGGCTTAAGGTATCGGACGACGAGGTAAGTAGTTTACATATACCCAGTGCCCATGCACATTAACTTAGTGCATATAAGATTAGTAAGTTTTGAAATGTTTCATTTATTATTATGCCTGTTTTTGTTGTTATATATGGTTATGTTTTTACGTTTTTTTAATTTTTAACAATAATATGCTTTCTGATATATTTGTAAGTATGTGTAAGCATTTTAGTAACCTTAACTCACTAAAAGCAAAGCCTTTAACCATATTTAAATACAATAACTCTTTTTGTTTTTTCATTTTCATAGACTCCGTAATTATGGATCAACAAGTTTATTACTCGACGAAGAAACAGAAGGAAACAGTGAATAAAGCTACTTAGAAGCATAAGAACGTGCTAAAATGGATCATAAATTGCACTAACCATTCCTTAACCGAGGGGTGTAATCATTCTATTACATATTCAGAAATATGAGTAAACAGCTATTAAGTATTATTTTAATGACCACGACAACTACCGAATACGTTTCCTTATCTACCTTTAAGTATTACAAAATTAGTTTGTAAATCGTAACATTTCCATTTGACATAAAAGAAAACTGTATGCATTTTATTTACCATTAATCATTTGAAACTCATTACATCCTATTCTAATTTATTGATTACGATTCACACAATTATAAATACATTATACAACTGCAATTTACATTAAAATAAACATATTAAAAATATGTGTGTATTGGAACCAATTCGAATTATGAATATACAATAAAATATTAACTATCCACGTTAATTAGTTTTTATATGCATGAGATTTCCAAATGGTTTATTACAATCAGCGTTCGAAAATAAACAGTACACTAACATAGTGTACTGTACCGGTACAGTATCACTAAAAAAATCTTTAGCGGTAGTGTTCCGGTACACTACCACTAAAAAATATTTTAGTGATACTGTACCGGAACACAACGATGATCGTAGTGTACCGCAGTCGGAGCGCTAAAAAATCGTAGTGTACCGCAGTCGGAACACTAAAAAATCGTAGTGTACCGGAGTCGGAGCACTAAAAAAACGTAGTGTTCCGCAATCGGTGCATTAAAAAATCGTAGTGTACCGGAGTCGGAGCACTAAAAAAACGTAGTGTTCCGCAATCGGTGCATTAAAAAATCGTAGTGTAGCACATGACCACATTAGAAAATCGAACTGATTTTAAACACTCAGCCATACACTGTAAAATATTTAGTTTTTTACACCAACACTCATTCATTTTTCGGTACCACAAAATAGCAGGTAAATTATTTGCATAATAACCCATTGCAATGCAACCACTAAAATACCATTTTTCGTGGAAAATTTCAATTTTGAATGGTTAAATCCAAATTATTATGACTTCAGATTTGGTCCTTTTTTATTCTTTCTACCTATTCCCATATTTTTCTACTTTCTTCAATCTTGCAACCAATCTAAACACACATGACAAATAAAATAAATCCAGCGGAACACTACGTTTTTTAGTGCTCCGACTGCGGTACAGTACGATTCTTGTTGTGCTCCGGTACAGTATCACTAAAATATTTTTTAATGGTTGTGCTCCGGTACGGTACATTATCTTAGTGTACCACTCCACCTCGGAACGGTACAGAACACTACGGTACAGTACCATACTGTTTATTTTCGAACGCTGATTACAATTCTTGTAATTCTAGTGTGTTGATCTGGGCTAAAACTTTGAATGCTCGAGCTTGTGAGCTCTTTTTCGTTTTTACAACATCGTCGCATTTTTAATAATAGATGTAGGTACGTAAGTACAGAAATAATGTTTACATGTTTAAAGATACAGGGTGAGATGAAAAAACTGCAACCAACTTCAGACTGCTGTCATTTCTAATCCACTCGTCCGACAGCTGTTAAAATTATTCCAGTGACAGCTCATCATATTGTTTACAAGCGTACAAAAGCATTTTGGAGGTGAGAATTTTCTAGGAAAAAGTTATTCGTTATGGAATTCAAGCGTGATAGTGTGATTTCTATTGGCTGGAAAACCACAAGTGGCTATCGTTAGAGCACTCCAGCATTTAAATGTGAATAAATATTTTGTGTCTCATACCATCGCTCGTTACCGTGATACTGGTAGCGTCAAGGAAGTGGACGGAAGAAAACAGCAACATCAGCATAAATGGTTCGAAAAGTAAAGAAGCGACTAGATCGAAAACCGCGTTGCAGTGGCCGAAATATGGCTCGTGAGCAGAACATATCGCAATATTCCATTCGGAAAATATTGAAAAAAGAGCTCAGAGTAAAGCCATTCAAATTCCAAAAAGTGCAAGAACTTACACCGCAACAAAAAGAAAATAGACTCAAAATAGGTAAAGAGGTTAAAGAAAACATTCGTTGTCCAGCAGTTTGTAAACAAACAAAATGATCGTGTTTACTTACCAAAGAGGTCAGCGGAAAATGTGAACCTTCGATTGGCCACCAGAAGTCATGCGTCGGCCACGGTGATGGTGTGGGCCGCCATAACAGTCGATGGTCGCTCTCTGCTCGTATTAATCGACCGTGGCATCAGAATAAATGCGGAATATTTATTCTGGAGGGTGAATTAAAGCCTTGGATACGCAAATATTTTGGCTGCAGACCTTTCCACTCAGCACGCGCCAACCAAGAATGGTTACAAAATGAGGCAAGATTGACACTAAAAAATATCAAAGTGTCGATCACCTAAAGCAAGCGTTTCGCCGGGAATGGGTCAAAATACCGCAGAGCAACATTCGTGCAGCGTGTGACGGTTTCATAGGACGTTCGAAGGCCATAATTCATGCCAAAGGTGACCAATTCGAACAAATCTAAACTTATTCTAAAATTTGATGTTATTTTTTGCTTTAATTCAATAAAATATAATAAAAAAAAACAATGTAAAAATTATGGCGTTTGACTTTGTTGCAGTTTTTTTTATCTCACCCTGTATACTTCATAATGTAAACCTTCTCGAAGTGAGATCATGCACAGCTTTTTACTTGTTTTTTATTCCAAATTTCTAAGCTCGTAAATTTTGCCTTTTCGCATATGGTTCAATTACCGTTTTCGAAGCAGAATAGAGTAGAATCTAATCCAAATTGTCTTCCATGTTTACTGAACAGGATTTAACAAATTCGAGTTCTCATGTGCCCCATCCTTCGTTGTTTCAGAATCGAATTTTAAACCCTAAATTAATGAATTTTGCAAACGACTATAGTGAGATTAAACAAAACTTCGATAGTGACGACAGTGAGTCTATGGGATATTGTTCTTAAGTAGCCGTTCAAAAGGAACCAACAATGGAACCTGCACAGTTACAACTGTTGATAGAAAGTGTTGTTAGTAATGCAATGCGGAAGGACAAATTAGAAAGAAAGTTGAAAGAGCAACTTGATAAGCTCAATCAAAAAATTCTGAATTAAGAGTAGATGCTCCGAATGTGACAACATTCGAGTATATTACAATTAGTCCTAGGGAATTCAATATGAAAATGTGTCGTGGAGGCAAACAGCGTACGTTGGCATTGAAGGTCACTGTCAAACAGTGACAATAATTAGAAATAAAATTCGAGGAAAGGTCAGAGCTTTATAACTGTCACATAATACAGTTCTCAACTTCGATGTTATAATAGTTAAGTTAGACTGCATATATGCTGGCAGAAGTTCCCTGCAAACACTTCGACAAAATTGGAGATGGTTAGTCAAAGAAATTTAAGTATTATGATAAGTCGAAAAAAGACTGATACTTGTCACTAACAAGACCATAATGACTCATGAAACAGAAGGGTCTGCCTTACTTAACACAGAAGTAAGAAGTCACGCCTTTATTTCAATGTTAGATTCGAAGTTCGTAATAGACAGAAAATGGTCCATGTAGGTCTACGTCTTCGTATAGCCCCCATATAACGGTACCTCCCCATATTCGGTATTTTGATGATTTTAGCGACATTATTTACCGGAACTATTTCAAATTTGGTATTTGAAGTTCGTAACAGAAACTACAGCATAAAACAGAAAATATGCCATGTGTATTGAAATTGGATATAATTAGTAAAAAATTAGATATAGCTCCCATATATATCTTCGTCCGGTTTGCCTTTTATTGTGCACCAAACGTGTAATATCAGCCCGAATAGTATGGAATTTTGCACATACAACCAAATTAAGCCTGAAAATAAGTATGCCAAATTTGATCGAAATCGGTTCAGATATAGCTATAGCTCCCATGTATATTGTTCATCCGATTTGTTATTTTTGTCCTCCGCAGCCGTAATATGCACTTTGTAACAACAATATTTGGGGAAATATATCAAATGCAGCTCAGAAATACCTTTGCTAGATTTTATCGAGATCGGTTCAGATTTGGATATAGCTCCCATATATAACTTCGTCCGATTTACTTTTTATTGTACACCAAACGTCTAATATTTGCCCAAATTAGATGGAATTTGGCACATGCGACCGAATTGAGTCTGGCAGCTAGTATGCCAAATTTGGTGAAGATCGGTTCAGATATAGCTATAGCTCCCATATATATTGTTCATCCGATTTGTTGTATTTGTTACCCACAGCCGTAATATGCACTCCGTAACAACGATATTCAGGGAAATATATCAAATACAGCTCAGAAATATCTTTGCCAAACTTTATCGAGATCGGTTCAGATTTGGATATAGCTCCCATATATATCTTTATCGGATTTCAAATTAAATTTGCACCAAATGGGCAATACAATTTACGAATTTAAAAGATACAAATGTTTCGGCATATTTAGTCCTCTGAACATTAAATAACAATTATAATCATAGCGTGTATGATTAAATTCTCCATAAAATCTTTTAATTGTTATGTGGAGCTCTACAAAATTAGCAAAGTGGTTAGGACTTGCTTTACTGGTTATCTAAGTCGATTTATGCATATCGTCCGTTCACCTGTCTATTCTTGTGAACAAAATGCGATTGAGATGAATTTTTCCAAACAATATTTGTTTGGCCCAAAGACGAACCATATTGAAATTGGCGATAATCGGATCAGGATCAGCTCCCATATATCTTCAACCGATTTCTGGTTAATTGTGCACCAAATGGCCAATATCAGTCCAAATGACCTGAATTTTGGCACATCCGACCGAATTCAGTCTAGAAGTAAGTACATAACATTTGGGGAAAATCGGTTCAGATATAGCTATGGCTCCCATATATATGTTTCATCTGATTTGATATTTAAATCCCTCTCATTCGTAATATGCTTTCGACAACAATGATATTTGGTACCAGATATCAGGTACAGCCTACAAATACCTCTGCCAAATTTTATCAAGATCGGTTCAGCTTTGGTTATAGCTCCCGATATCGGATCGGCTCCGATATATATATTTTTAATATAATCCTTCTCGAAGTGATATTATGCACTCTACAGAGTGAAATGAATAAACTACAACCAACTTCAGACTGCTGTCATTTCTAAGCCACTCGACCGACAGCTGTTCAAATTATTCCAGTGACAGCACATTATATTGTTTACAAGCGTACAAAAGCATTTTGGTGGGAATTTCCCAGAAAAAAAGTTTTTCGTGATGAAATTCAAGCGTGATGGTGTGATTTCTTTATATTTGGCTGGAAAACCACAAGTAGTGTCTCATACCATCGCTCGTTACCGTGATACTGGTAGCGTAGACCGACGTCAAGGAAGTGGACGGAAGAAAACAGCAACATCAGCAGAAATGGTTCGAAAACTAAAGGAGCGACTTGATCGAAACCCGCGTCGCAGTGGCCGAAAAATAGTACGTGAGCTCAATGTATCGCAATATTTCATTCGGCAAATATTGAAAAATCGGGGAGCTCGGGGTAGAGCCATTGAAATTCTAAAAGGTGCAAGAACTTAAACCGCAACAGAAAGAAATCAAACTCAAAAGTGCTCAAGAGTTGCTTCGCTTGACCGAAAGTGGTGAACTGCCGAATATGGGTTTCTCCGATGAGAAAACATTTGTTTGTAAACAAACAAAATGATCGTGTTTACTTGCCAAAGAGGTCAGCTGAAAATGTGAACCATCGGTTGGTCACCAGAACTCAAGCGCCGGCCATGGTGATGGTGTGGGCCGCCATAACAGCCGATGGTCGCCTCTGCTCGTATTAATCGACTGTGACATCAGAACAAATGCGGAATATTTCGCGAAAATATTCTGGAGGGTGTATTAAAGCCTTGGGTACGCAAATATTTTGGCCGCGGCACGCGCCACCCAAGAATGGTTACAAAATGAGGTTCCTCGCTTCATTTCCAGCGCACAATGGCCACCAAAATCTCCGAATACCAATCCGTTGGACTATTGTGTCTGAAGTATTTTGGAAATCAAGGTTGGCACTAAAAAATACCAAAGTGCCAATCACCTCAAGCAAGCGTTTCGCCGGGAATGGGTCAAAATACCGCAGAGCAACATTCGGGCAGCGTGTGACGGTTTCATAGGCCGTTTGAAGGCAATAATTCGTGCCAAAGGTGACCAATTCGAACAAATCTAAATTTATTCCAAAATGTGATGCTATTTCCGACATTTTTTGCTTTCACTCAATAAAATTAAAAAAATGTACAAATTATGGCGTTTGACTTTGTTGCAGTTTTTTTATTTCACCCTATACACTGAAAGAATATACATTAAAATGTTATTCTGGCTAATAATATGCTTGCTCCTGGCATATAACTTATTTTTTATAAATTCAAACCTTTACCAGATATTTTAATTGAGTGTAGTTTAAGTTGGTTCTCATCATTATTATCAAGGAGCCCCCAAGCGGTGAATGTCTTCCGCTGTCTGTCACATGTGGAATGGGATCACAACGATGTCAACGAAAGGTAATGAACATTTGATTAATAAATTATATAAAATACATACTCAATTCTTTATTCGACGTAAAATACATACATACGTATGCATACAGACATAGTTATGTACACGTTTATCTATCAATCTATCGACTCAGAATAATATACACATGTATGTACGTTGTGGCCGCCATTGTGTCACATCTTCATCAAATGCCATCCATTATTTAATCAATCATTTGCGGGGTATGCGACGACTACCCATTCGCTCGATGCCAATGCAAATTTTTCTAATTAAGGCTAATTCAATGCCTGCTCTAAGTTATGCGTGCGTATGTGTGAGTGGGTTAGTGAGTACGCGATAGTGTAGCAGTTCAAACTAGGCTCTTTTGAACTTTTGCAAACATTCATATAAAGTCAAACACTTTGTTTCGGGCATCAAAAAGAATACACACAATCCCAGTAGCATGCAGAGAAATCCCATGATGAAGAAGAAAACCGTTCCATTGATGGTCGCCAAGGCCGACACTAAGGCTAGTGCCAATTGGAGTGTATGCTCGCCAATCAATACCGCTGCCACGCACTTAGCCTTTTGCGTGACGGTGAATGCCTCTGACAAATAGACACTGGCCGCTATGGAAACCCCAACGCAAATGATAAATTGGAAAAGCAGCATTAGGAGGGCAATAATTTCCAAATCTAGCTGAACAATGGCTGCATTGGTATTTACCAAATATTCCATGATGCCACCAGTTATGAGCATAAATATTGTGGCCGGCAGCATTGTAGCTACACACATTCTACGCCGGCCGTATCTGTCGATTAGCAGGCAACCCAATAAACTGCCACATGCTCCAGTGGCCGCCATGGTGTACAAACAATTGGTGTCACAATTGAAGCCTAACCAACTGGCGGACAAATACACGCGATTGAATGGCTGCGACATTGTCAGCGTAACAAAGCCACGTAAAATAAACAATTTGAATAATGGGCCGGCGTTGAATCTCCGAAAGACATACCACCCACTCTGGTCGGCATCGATTGCCATTAATTGGACACAGTCCTCACGCACGCGCATCACTTCCGTTGTGGTCAATTGGGTGCCGATGAGCTGTTTCAGGACACTGCTTGCTGCATGTTCACGTTGCTGTTGGATGAGCAGTAGTGGCGATTCGATGCGTTGTTTAATAGCCCCAACGATGGTTGCTAATCCTAAGCATGCCACCACAATGCCGTGAATCTGATCGGGTTGCAGGCTGCGGTAGCCGGATGGTGGTTCGAGTGCATACCACAAATATGTGAATGTCAGTTGCATGAGTATACCGAACCAGAGAGAGCATCGTTCTGTTGCCATCACAAAACCCCGCATTTCCTTGCTGCACATTTCGGGACCCACAACGAACGTCTGCACCTGTGTCAAGCCCATGGCCATGCCTTCAAACACACAACTGAATGCCATGCCAATGAAAGAGTTTGGTAATATCACGAATAGTATCCCACCAAAAACAAGTAGGGAACCACTAGTTATCTGTGAAGAGGAAATAAATGTGGTAATTAGACGAAAGCAAGTAAAAATTGGTTGAATTTGTTTTTCATAGAATCTTCGATAATGAGTAGCAAGGGTGTGCATAGATTACAACAACTAACGATTTTAATCATCATGACCTATGGATTTTACTGAAACAAGATTGTCGTTCCTAACATTTAAATTGAAAATGAAAATATTTTAATATTAGTATCGTTTAAAAATAGAGCTCAGAGAAAGCATTTAAAAATTTATCTTTGGTAAAATTTTGTCTCTGGTTATCTATATTTTTCAGCCGAAAAAATCGGATAGCCTTAAAGGCTAGACTACATACGATTTTAGAGTATATTAATGTCAATTGAAAAATTATCTGTAGCATTTTTGTAGCATAATTTTAGGCACTACACACAATTTTTATACCCTACACCACATAGTGGTAAGGGTATTTTGTCTTTGTGCATTTGTTTGCAACATGGAGAAGGAAGCGTGATAGACCCATAGTTACTTTAGAGGATCTTTATAGAATCACTTTCTAAGTCGATGTATACATGTCAGTCCGTCTGTCCGCCCGTGCATGCACTCTTGTGAACAAAATGCAGGTCGCATTTATTACCCGATAGAGATTAAAATTTGCAAACAATATTTGTTTGATCCAAGGACGAACCCTATTGAAATTGGTAATAATCGGATCAGATTTAGATATAGCTCCCATATAGGGTGAGATAAAAAACTGCAATAAAGTCACACGCCATAATTTTTACATTTTTTTTTTAAATTTTATTGAATGAAAGCAAAAAATGTCGGAAATAGCATCAAATTTTGGAATAAGTTTAGATTTGTTCGAATTGGTCACCTTTGGCACGAATTATGGCTTTCAAACGACCAATGAAACCGTCGCACGCTGCCCGAATGTTGCTCTGCGATATTTTGGCCCATTCCCGGCGAAACGCTTGCTTGAGGTGATCGACACTTTGATATTTTTAGTGCCAACCTTGCTTTCCAAAATACTCCAGACACAATAGTCCAACGGATTCGTATCCGGAGATTTTGGTGGCCATTGTGCGCTGGAAATGAAGCGAGGAACCTCATTTTGTAACCATTCTTGGTGGTGCGTGCTGAGTGCGATGGTGCTGAGTCCTGTTGGAATGTTCACGGTCTGCGGCCAAAATGTTTGCGTGCTCAAGGCTTTGATACACCCTCCCATAATACAAACGGAGATTAATCGACCGGCTGTTATGGCGGCCCACACCATCACCATGGCCGACGCGTGACTTCTGATGACCAATCGATGGTGCACATTTTCAGATGACCTCTTTGGTAAGTAAACACGATCATTTTGCTTGTTTACAAACTGCTGGACAACGAATGTTTTCTCATCGGAGAAAACCAAATTCGGCAGTTCATCACTTTCGGCCAAGCGAAGCACTCTTTAGCTTTTTTGAGTCTATTTTCTTTCCGTTCCGGTGCATGTTTTTACACTTTTTGCAATTTCAATGGCTTTACCCCGAGCTCATTTTTCAATATTTGCTCACGAGCCATTTTTCGGCCACTGCGACGCGAGTTTCGATCATATCTCTTCTTTACCGAACCATTTCTACTGATGGTGCCTATTTTCTTCCGTCCACTTCCTTGACGTCGGACTACGCTACCAGTATCACAGTATCGAGTGATGGTGCGAGACACAATAAAATGTATTCACATTTAAATGCTGGAGTGCTCTAACCATAGCAACTTGTGGTTTTTCAGCCAAATATAAAGAAATCACACTATCACGCTTGAATTCCATCACGATTAACTTTTTTTCTGGAAAATTCTCACCAAAGTGCTTTTGTACGGTTGTAAACAATATGATGAGCTGTCACTGGAATAATTTTGAACAGCTGTCTGACGAGTGGCTTAGAAATGACAGCAGTTTGAAGTTGGTTGCAGTTTCTTCATCTCGCCCTGTATTTGTTTTGATCAGCGTAAAATTCTAAGACGATTTAGTCCTGTCCGTCCGTCTGTTGTAATCACACTAGAGTCAAAACGAATCAAGATAGGAAGCTAAAATTTTGCACAGATCAGTGTTTTGTCTGCATACAGGTCAAGTTCGAAGATGGCCTATATTAGTCCAAGATATCGTATAGCTCCCATATAACGGTACCTCCCGGTATTCTGTATTTTGATGTTTTTAAGCACATTTTTCAATGGAATTGTCTGAAATTCTACGCAGAGAGTTCTTTGTCAGTATTTTCCACCATGCAAGAGAATTGTCTATTTAGGTACACGATATCGTGTAGTCCCCATTTAACAGTACCTCCGGATATTCGGCAATTTGATGATTATAGCCACAATTTTCAATGGAATGGCCTAAAAAAAGCAAAAGAAGCAAGAGAATTGTCTATATAGGTCCACAATGTGGTGTAGACCCAATATGTCGGTATCCCCCGATATTTGGTATTTTGATGATTTTAGCGACATTATTCACCCGAATTGTTTTAAATTGCGTATTCAAAGTTCGTAATGGGTACTACAGTCTATAGCAAAAAATTGCGTATGAAGATCCACGTTTTCGTATAGCCCCAAAATGACGATATATCCCAGTATTTGGTATTTGGATGATTTTAGGTACATTATTCACAGGAATTGTTTCAAATTTCGTGATGCCCGTAATGTGTACTACAACTTTTGATGGAAAATTGTCTTCTTAGGTCCACATATAATTGCACCCCCATTTATTCGGAATTTTGATGATATTAGCGACACTTTTACCGGAATTGTTTCAAATTCCGTATTTAAAGTTTGTAATGGCTACTACAGCTATGATAAAATATTACTAGAGCAGACAATTTTCTGTCATAGGCTATACATCCGTTAATAATTTCAAATATCGAATTTGAAACATTTCCGGTGAATACTGTCGCTAAAATCACCAAAATACCGAAAATATTGAGGTACCATTATATGCGGGCTATACCAAAACGTGGACCCACATGGCCCATTTTCAATACCAAAAGACCTGCAGACATAATATGCATTGGAGTAAAATTTTAGCAACCTACTTTATTTCGTTCGGAAGCTAGAGTGGTTTCCACAGACGGATGGACGGACGGACATCGCTAAATCGACATAGAATTTTATGCTGATCATGAATATATATACTTTATGGGGTCCACGACGAATATATAGGGGTGTTACACACGAAATCACAAAGTTAATATACCCTCCTTTTCAAGGTGGAGGGTATGAATATACCTTTGTCAAATTAAGTGGAATTAGTTCTAGATATTTAACTCCCACATGTTCGTTTCATTTGATTTCAAACTTCAGTCGTCTTAAAGTTGTAAAACGGAATTCAATACGAATCATATTTGGTATGATTTATTCTACACAAATTCGCACCACTGTGGTGTGGTGTAGGGAGACATGTAGGCCGCCCAGCCGATTAGTTCAACATTTTCCTTCTCATTACTTACATGAGCAATATTTTTTGTTACACGTCCAACGAATGTTGAGGCCGCAATGCATCCCAAAATGCCACCAACAAATAACGCCACAATTAAAAGACTGCTGTCATAGTCGTAGTCAAAGCGATTTGGCGGAGCCTCATACACCGTCCAAGCCAGCTTCAGGCCGCCCGCAAAGAGAATTAACGAAGCGGGTATTGTCAGCAGCAATTGAATGCGACCATGCCATACTTGTTGGAACCATGTTTGGCTCTCCTCTTCTTTGATTGTGGGTAATATGGGCATTTTTTCTTAGCGGAAAATTCAGTTATTTTTTTGTATTTCTGTCTTAGGAATTTCAAAAATTGCTTTTCGCCAATTTTGTGATGATGTTAACAGTGGCACATTTTTTTAGTTTTGCCATTTATTGTTACGCGATTTAAAGAATTTTGAACACTGCCGTCCAGCTACCGACCACGAATGATTCACTAAAACTCTGGCTAGATTAGTACGAATTGTGGCCGAAGATAATGTGACACACTGCTATCAATAAATAATTTATTTATATTAACGATTTACGATTAGTGAGTTCCTTTCATTTCCATTCTGGTTTCAGATATCCCCTCAATGTTGCCAGACAGTTTAACGCATTTTTGCTGAGGCGTGTGCATAATCTATTGGTAACAAAAAAATACACGATATACAGTGGCTAATATCCGTCGATCCATGAGATTAGTTATGTTTCAGTGGAAAAAGGTATAACTTCCATATTTAAATATATGGTTGAGTACTGTTCCAGGAATATAGCCGATTTTGATAACACATAATCTAGAGATTGCCAATAAAGTTTGGTACCTCACATTAAAATACTATTCACTTATTTTATTGTCACATATTGCTTTTTCACTGATCCAATATATATTACTATTGTACATTCCGTTTATCTATGTTAATGAATTTCAAAATTTCAATTTTTTAAAGCCACTGTACAGTGTTCCCTGAGTACATTTGTTTTTATATTAAGTGATAAGATAGCCATGTTTGGACTTCTTATCAGAAGTGTGGCCCATAAACAAAATATCGATTGCAGGGAATAAAATGTGTTGGATAAATTTATGTATATTTGCCTTTGCTGCTTATGACGTTATGGGAATTTAAATTGAATAAACAATTGCTTTGAATTGCCTTTAGAGGATCCATGAAAATGATTTGCAGCTCCCCTATATCGCATAAAATTTTTTTAACATTTTAAATAAATTGTTTTAATACATTTGTAACAAGTTAAAAAGCAGTAAGTTCGGCCGGGCCGAACTTTGAATACCCTCCACCATTTGGAATGAAGTTGGAGATAAAATCCTTAAAAAATTTTAACAATTTAAAAATACTGAATATAGCCGTTATATTGGTGTCTATACGACGTGGACCTACATAGGCATTTGCCATAAGTCATTACCATATTCAAATTCGAAACTTGAAATAAACGGTGAATAATGTAGCAAAAATCATCATAACCATTCTGCCATAGGCTGTAGCATTTATTACGAACTTCAAATACGCGTCTCAAACAATTTCGTTGGGTATTTTACCTAAACTCGTCAAAATACCGAGTATAGGGAGGTACTGGTATGTGGGGCTTAACAATTCCGGTGAATAATGAATCTAAAATCATCAAAATACTGAATATGGGGAGGTACCGTTATGTGGGGGCTATACGAAGACGTGGACCTACACAGACAATTTTCTGTCTTAGGCTGTAGTATTCATTACGAACTTCAAATACCAAATTTAAAACCATTCCGGTTAATAATGTCGGTAAAATCATCAAAATACCGAATATAGGGAGGTACCGTTATATGGGGGCTATACGAAGACGTGGACCTGCACAGACAGTTTTCTGTCTAAGGCTGTAGTATCCATTTCGAACTTCAAATACCAAATTTAAAACCATTCCGGTTAATAATGTCGCTAAAATCATCAAAATACCGAATATAGGGAGGTACCGTTATATGGGGGCTATACGAAGACGTGGACCTGCACAGACAGTTTTCTGTCTAAGGCTGTAGTATCCATTTCGAACTTCAAATACCAAATTTAAAACCATTCCGGTTAATAATGTCGCTAAAATCATCAAAATACCGAATATAGGGAGGTACCGTTATAAGGGGGCTATACGAAGACGTGAACCTGCATATAAAGTTTTCTGTCTAAGGCTGTAGTATCCATTTCGAACTTCAAATACCAAATTTGAAAAAAATCCGGTTAATAACGTTGCTAAAATCATCAAAATTCCGAATATCGGGAGGTACCGTTATATGAGGGCTAAACGAAGACGTGGACCTGCACAGACAATTTTCTGTCTTAGGCTGTAGTATCCATTGCGAACTTCAAATACCAAATTTGAAAAAAATTCCCGTGAAAATGTCGCTAAAATCATCAAAATACCGAATATCGGGAGGTACCGTTATATGGAGTCTATATGAAAACGTGGACCTACATGGCCCATTTACGAACTTAACCTGCCTACTGGAAAAATAAACATGTGTGCCAAATTTTAGCCTTCTATCTCAATTCGTTCGAAAGATAGCGTGATTACAACAGACAGACAGACGGATAGACAGACAGACGGATAGACAGACAGACAGACAGAGGGACATAGCTAAATCGACTTAGATTTTTACGCTGATCAAGAATATATATACTTTGTTGGGTCTGACATGAGTATTTCGAGGAGTTACAAACGGAATGACAAAGTTAATATACCCTCCATAGTATGGTGGAGGGTATAAAAATAATGTTAATATTTGAAGATAACATATACAAACACATTGTGACAACAACAATATTTTTAGTGTCACATTTTGAATATTACGGCCATATTATCTGAGCACAACCATAAAGGTATTTATGCTTAAAAGGAATTAGGAAAAAATGCAAATCTATACAGGGTGAGATAAAAATGCTGCAATCAACTTCAGACTGCTGTCATTTCTGAGCCACTCGTCCGATAGCTGTTAAAATTATTCCAGTGACAGCTCATTATATTGTTTACAAGCGTACAAAAGCATTTTGGTGAGAATTTTCCAGAAAAAAAGTTATTCGTGATGGAATTCAAGCGTGATTTCTTTATATTTGGCTGGAAAACCACCAGTGGCTATGGTTAGAGCACTCCAGCATTTAAATGTGAATACATTTTTTGTGTCTCGTACCATCGCTCGTTGCCGTGATACTGGTAGCGTAGTCCGATGTCAAGGAAGGGGACGGACGAAATGATTCGGAAAGTAAAGAAGCAACTTGATCGAAACCCGGGTCGCAGTGGCCGAAAAATGGCTCGTGAGCTGAACATATCGCAATATTCCATTCGGCAAATATTGAAAAATTAGCTCGGGGTAAAGCCATTGAAATTCCAAAAAGTGCAAGAACTTGCACCGCAAATAGAAGAAAATAGACTCAAAAGAGTTAAGAGTTGCTTCGCTTGGCCGAAAGTGGTGAACTGCCGAATTTGGTTTTCTCCGATGAGAAAACATTCGTTGTCCAGCAGTTTGTAAACAAACAAAATTATCGTGTTTACTTGCCAAGGAGGAGGTCAGCTGAAAATGTGCACCTTCGGTTGGCCACCACAACTCAAGCGCCGGCCATGGTGATGGTGTTGGCCGCCATTACAGCCGATGGTCGCTCTCCGCTGGTATTAATCGAACGTGGCATCAGAATAAATGCCGAATATTAGGGTGTATTAAAGCCTTGGGCACGCAAACATTTTTGCCGCAGACCTTGGACATTCCAACAGGACTCAACACGCGCCACCCAAGAATGGTTACTAAATGAGGTTCCTCGCTTCATTTCCAGCGCATAATGGCCAACAAAATCTACGGATACCAATCCGATGGACTATTGTGTCTGGACTATTTTGGAAATCAAGGTTGGCACTAAAAAATACGAAAGTGTCGATCACCTCAAGCATGCGCTTTGCCGGGAACGGTTCAATGTACCTCAGAGCAACATTCGGGCAGCGTGTGACGGTTTCATTGGCCGTTTGAAGGCCCTAATTCGTGCCAAAGGTGATCAATTCGAACAAATCTAAACTTATTCTAAAATTTGATACTATTTCCGACATTTTTTGCTTTCATTCAGTAAAATTTAAAAAAAAGTATAAAAATTAAGGCGTTTGACTTTGTTGCAGTTTTTTATCTTACCCTGTATACCGAAAGATTTCAAGCATTTTTCTGATTTTTTTTAATAGACCCTCTTAAATTCTACCCTCAAAATTTAAGGGTTTTAAAACAATACAAGCAAAAAAGCAGCTAGGTTCGGCAAGGGCGAACTTTCAATACCCTCCACCATTTGTAAGGAACTTAAAAAAAAATGTCAACAAATTCCGAAAAATTCGTTTAAATTATGGAATTTATACGGGTGCTGTATGAAGATGCGGAACATCGCAAAATTGTACTATATTTTTGCGCTGATTCAGAATATATTTACTTTTTAGGGTAAATCATGAATATTTCGAGGAATTACAAACGCAATGACAAAGTTAATATACCCTCCACAGAATGGTGGAGGGTATAAAAATTATGTACTACATTTTCGATATTGGACTCCTATTGCTCGCAATATGAGCAGAGCACACAATTGATATATGCATCAATCGACGAAAATCTATAATCGTATTAATCAATTCAGCTCATTAAATTTTTGCGACGTTATATTTTAAGAAAAAAGGCAAAAAAAAAAAAATAAATAAAAAGCATATAAGTTCGCCGGTCCGGTCAATTTCAATCAATTGGAAATTGAAAATGCAGCTATAATTTTAACAAGTAAAAAAGCAGTAAGTTCGGCCGGGCCGAAATTTAAATGCACCATTTGAAACAAATTTGGAAACTTAAAAAAAATTAAAATCCGTTAAAAATTCTGTTAAAATCTTAAAAATACCGAATATAGCCATCACATTGGGGTCTAAGCCATTACAATATTCAAATACGAGAATAAAGTAGCTAAAATCGCCAAAAAAAAAACCAATATAGGGAGGTATACGAAGACCTGGACCTGCATAGACAACTTTCTGTCACAGTCTGTAGTACCTATTAATAACTTCAAATACTAGATATATAGAAATTTATCTTCCAGGTAGTAAAGTGCTTAAAAAGAAAGTTCTATTATAGGGGGTGAACTTGACCTGCAGAACCGCAGACAAAAGACTCATCAGTGCTAAATGTTAAATTTCTATATTTATTCATTTTGAATCTAGCGCCATTACAACAGATGGGCGGAGGGACAGGGCTAGACCGTCTAAGAATTTTACGCTGATCAAGAATATATACGTGGTTATGTCTAAAATTATTATTTCGATGAGATACAATCGGAATGACGAACTCAATATGCCCTCCATACTATGTATAGTGGAGGGTATGAAAAATCCGATTATCAGGTGTCACATTTACATGGGGATATACAAAAACGTGGACCTTTACAGCCAATAATTTGCCAGAAAAGGATGTGCCTATTACAAATTCCAAACACCAAGTTTACGATAATTCTGTTGAAATATGTAGCTAAAACCATAAAAATATTAAATATTGGGTGGTACCATTATAAGGGGGCTATACGACGATGTGGACGTGTACAGGAGGTTTTCTGTCACAGAAAGTTGTACCCATTACCAACACTAAGTAGCAAACGTGAAACTTGAAAATTCCGGTGAAAACTGTGACACCTTATAAATTTGAAAGAAAACATACATTTTTAAAATATCACGAGAGGCTGATACATATTTATTAATTGTATATATATTTTTATAGATTATTTGAAAATTTAATTGAAATGATCAATCAAAATTGATAATTTATAAATTTTCGAAATTTAGCTAAACATTCTCGCAATGTATTTTTCTTGGTTTCTGGCAATGCAACTATAGCCATGATCAATAATGCGATTGATAACCCACCCATAGTGTTGAAGTATTCTGGCAAATCGTAAACGTTGGAACGCAACGGCCTCGAACAAATGGCAATAATCAAGAGGTGAATACACATCTCCACAATAAAGGTAATGGCAACATAGTAAGGTTTTACGGCCAATGGAAATGCCTCCGAAAGATATACAGATGATGATGCTGTTGAAATACAGGCAAACAATTGATACGCCATCAGGAGGAACACCACTACCGCCATTGTCTCACGATTTCTGATATTTAATCTGTCATTAAAAATACAACAAAAGAATCCAATAATCGTTGGTGTTCTACGACCCTGTGAATCGATTATAAAGGTGACCATCAGTGTTCCAATCCATGCCAAGAAACTATACACATTATAAGCCCATACATCATTGTATCGAAAGGCAATTGATACGACATAGGAAAAAGCAAAGTAGCTGTAGAAACAGGTACTAGCAGCCGAAAATGCCCTATAGAAAGATAATTTCAAAAGAGCCGGCAGTCCGATGATGGCGCTTTGCAACAATGTCATATCACTACTTTCGCCCAAATATTGTTTGTGTTCCGATAGCTGTTCATAGGTCTCGCGTGTTACTGTAAATGGCCGCTGTAGGCGTCTTAATATATCGATTGCTTTTTCCTCCTGACCATGTGCTAAATATAAAATCGGTGATTCCAATTGCATAGTGTATGCCATAATAAAACTTAAGAATCCGCAGAAAATCGAAAGTATACCCATCTTTTGGGCGCCATCGAATAAGGCATCCTGTGGCCAACTAAACGAATAAATGGACTGTATAAATGAGCCCAACTGTAGGCACATCGAACCGACGGCGGCGGCATTCATACCACGTAAACTTTTCACACATTCTTCACCCACCAGAACAAATGTCAGGGGAAATACCAGACCCAAGGCACAGCCATTGATGTAACGTGCTGCCAACAGGGCATCCTCTGAGCGTGGATCTGCCACCAACAATATGCCCGAAACGGTTACCAACAATGCAGCAAAACACGGGAAACATCAAAATTTGTTTGAATAAATGCGAGAAATCTTTTGGAACTGCGAAGCTTACCGTTATCAGTTTCTTTGGTATTCGGTTACAAATAATGGCGCCCAAAATAACACCGACTATTGCTCCAATGAACCAACTCATTGGCCAGTGTTTGTTGGTGAAGCAAACTCTTGGGCCTGGATCTCCCAGGAACATACCAGCAGAGATAAATATTAAAGCGGCTAGTAGAAAGAAAAAACGATATTATTAATTGAAATAAACAATTTTATTAATTAAACTCTAGGTCCGATTACGCGTTATTGTTTTTGTATTCCCTAGCTTTTTATACCCTCCACCCTAGTAGGGTATATTCAGTTTGTAACGCCTCGAAATATACATTTAAGGCCCCATGTCGATTTAGAGATGTCCGTCCGTCTGTCCATATGTCCGTCGGTGAAAATCGCTCTAGCTTCCGATCATAATGATGTAGGTTGATAAAGTTTTACTCAGATGCGTATTATACAGGACTTTTGGTTTTAAAATGGGCCAAGTAGGTATGGACCTTATGGTATGGCCCTTATATAACTGTACCGCCAGATTTAAGGTGTTTTGGTTGTTTTTATCATAATTTTTGCCCAAATTTGTAGATTGGCAGCTTGTGTTACCAGTATGTAGGAAACATCCTTTCACAGGACTGTCTATATAGGTCCAATTTTTGGTATAGTCCCCATATGACTGTGCCTCCAGATATTCGGTATTTTAAGGATTTTAGCTACATTTTCAACTGAATGACCTTAAACTTGGTAATTGGAGTTCGTAATATGACCACATCTTCCCTGGCACAATTGGCTATAGAGGTCCACGTTTTCGTATAGTCCCTATATAATGGTACCTCCCTATATTTAGTATTTTGATAATTTTAGTGACATTATCCACCGGAATTGTTTCAAATTTCGTATTTTAAGTTCATAATGGGTGCTACAGTCTGTTACAGAAAATAGTCTATGCAGGTCCAGGTAGCCGCATAGCCCCATATAACGGTACCTCCCTGTATTTGGTATTTTGATGATTTTAGCAGTATTTTTTAACGGATTTTTTATTAAAAATTTTCAAATTCCTTCCAAATGGTGGAGTGAATTCAAAGTTCGGCCCCGCTGAACTTTCTGTTTTTATACCCTACACCACATAGTGGTAAGGATATTATGTCTTTGTGCATTTGTTTGTAACATGGAGAAGGAAACGAGATAGACCCATAGTTACTTTTGAGAACCTTCATAGAATCACTTTCTGAGTCGATTTATGCATGTCCGTCCGTCTGTCCATGTATTCTTGTGAACAAAATGCAGGTCGCATTTATTATCCGATTGAGATGAAATTTTCCAATCAATATTTTTGTGGCCCAAGGACGAACCCTATTGAAATTGGTGAGAATCGGATCAAATTTAGATATAGCTCCCATATATATCTTCATCCGATTTCGGGTTAAACGTGCACCAAATATCCACTATCAGTCCAAATTACCTGAATTTTGGCACACCCAACCGAGTTCGGCCTAGAAACAAGTATATAAAAATTGGAGAAAATCGGTTCAGATATAGCTATAGCTCCCATATATATCTTTCATCCGATTTGATCTTTAAGTTCCTCACATTCCTACTATGCACTCCACAACCGTGATATTTGGTACCACGTATTAGATGGAGCACAGAAATAGCTGTTTTAAATTTTATTGAAATCGGTTCAGATTTGGATATAGCTCCCATATATATCTTCATCCGATTTCGGGTTAATTGACCACCAAATGACCAATATCAGCCCAAATGGCCCGAATTTTGGCACATGTGACCGAGATTAGCCTTAAAGCAAATACAACAAATTTGGAGAAAATCGGTTCAGAAACAGCTATAGCTCCCATATATATCTTCATCCGATTTCGGGTTAAATGTGCACCAAATATCCACTATCAGTCCAAATTACCTGAATTTTGGCACACCCAACCGAGTTCGGCCTAGAAGCAAGTATATCAAATTTGGAGAAAATCGGTTCAGATATAGCTATAGCTCCCATATATATCTTTCACCCGATTTGGTGTTTAAGCCTCTCACATTCGTAATATGCACTCCACAAGATTGATATTTGGTACCAGATATAAGATGCAGCCCAGAAATAGATGTTTGTAATTTTATCGAAATCGGTTCAGATTTGGATATAGCTCCCATATATATCTTCATCCGATTTCGGGTTAATTGTGCACCAAATGGCCGATATAAGTCCAAATGGACTGAATTTTAGTACATCGGACCAAATTCAGCCTAGAAGCAAGTATATCAAATTTAGTGAAAATCGGTTCAGATATAGATATAGCAACCATATATATGTTTCATCCGATTTAGTGTTTTAGTCCCTTACATTCGTAATATTCACTCCACAACCGTGATATTTGGTACCAGGTATTAGATGGAGCACAGGAATAGCTGTTTTAAATTTTATCGAAATCGGTTCAGATTTGGATATAGCTCTCATATATATCTTCATCCGATTTCGGGTTAAATGTGCACAAAATGGTCAATATCAGCCCAAATCACCAGTCTAGAAGAAGAAGAAGAATACGTAAAATTTGGAGAAACCCGGTTCAGAGATAGCTATAGTTCGTAAAATGCACGATAGAATTAGATAGATTTTGATTTTGTACCAAATATCTCATAGAGCTCTGAAATGCCCTGTATAAACCTTTTTACGAGAGCTCTACTAAATATGCATAGTGGTGTGGGGTATCATATAGTCGGCCCCGCCCGACTTTTGAGCTTTCTTTACTGGTTTTTACTTGATTTTAACGTTTAGACCACAACTTCAGAGCAAATCGTTTATAATTTTAAGTTAAGAGCAGAGAGATGTGGGCTCTATATAACGGTACCTCCTGATTTCGGTTCTTTAAAGCTTTCGTCCATATTTTCAAATCAATTCATTTATGACTTGAAATATCAAATTCTGTGTACTTATAATACTTCTTTGCCAGAAATTGTGCAGTTGAGTCCAAAATTTGATATTGGCCCAAATAACACTTAACGTTTCCTCTGTATTTCTTGTATTTTGGAGGTCTTAGACATAGTTCCCCAACAAATTAATATTTTTTTCTATTTTGTCTTTTCAAAGAACTCCACAAATCGCCAGTACAACAGTTAGGTGGAGTTTGGTGAGATCCCAAAAACAGATACAATTTTAAAGAAAGTATTCTGTTGTTCCACCACAATTTTGGTAGAAAAATCTTTATTTGTTTGAAAACAATTTAAAAAGTATTTGTCGCTTTTGCCGACCGATGTATACCCTCAGCCAATATTCGATTTTTTAAATATTTATTGACTTTTGTTATGATTATTGTTCAACCTCCATGGCGTAGGTTCCGAGGGAATGGGCTAATATTGTCCATTTCGTATCGGACCTAAATACATATGACTATATTGGTTACTTCCTTCACTTTGCAGGTATTAAAACTAGGTCATGTATGCCCACGTTTTGGTATAGCCCTCATATAATGGTATCTCCCTATTTTCGGTATTTTGGTGATTTAAGCGACATTATTCACCGGAAATGTTTTAAATTTAGTATTTGAAGTTCACAATGAATTCTACAGTCTATGACAGAAAATTGTTCGCACAGGTTCACGTCTTTATAGCCCTCATATAACGGCACCTCCCGATATTCGGTATTTTGATGATTTGGTATTTGAAATTCGTAATGGATACTACATCCTAAGACAGAAAATTGTCTGTGCAGGTCCACAGAATTTTTAACTGATTTTTGAAAATTGCCGAAATCGTCCGAACCGGCCGAACTTACGGTTTTTATACCCTACACCACACGGTGGTAAGGGTATTATGTCTTTGTGCATTTGTTTGTAACATGGAGAAGGAAACGAGATAGACCCATAGTTACTTTTGAGAACCTTCATAGAATCACTTTCTGAGTCGATTTATGCATGTCAGTCCGTCCGTCTGTCCATGTATTCTTGTGAACGAAATGCAGGTCGCATTTATTATCCGATTGAGATGAAATTTTCCAAATAATATTTTTTTGGCCCAAAGACGAACCCTATTGAAATTGGTGAGAATCGGATCAAATTTAGATATAGCTCCCATATATATCTTCATCCGATTTCGGGTTAAATGTGCACCAAATGGCCGATATAAGTCCAAATGGACTGAATTTTAGTACATCGGACCAAATTCAGCCTAGAAGCAAGTATACCAAATTTAGTGAAAATCGGTTCAGATATAGATATAGCAACCATATATATGTTTCATCCGATTTAGTGTTTTAGTCCCTTACATTCGTAATATTCACTCCACAACCGTGATATTTGGTATCAGGTATTATATGGAGCACAGGAATAGCTGTTTTAAATTTTATCGAAATCGGTTCAGATTTGGATATAGCTCCCATATATATCTTCATCCGATTTCGGATTAATTGACCACCAAATGGCCAATATCAGCCCAAATGGCCCGAATTTTGGCACATGTGACTGAGATTAGCCTTAAAGCAAATACAACAAATTTGGAGAAAATCGGTTCAGAAACAGCTATAGCTCCCATATATATGTTTTATCCGATTTGGTGTTTAAGCCTCTCACATTCGTAATATGCACTCCACAAGGATGATATTTGGTACCAGATATAAGATACAGCCCAGAAATAGCTGTTCGTAATTTTATCGAAATCGGTTCAGGTTTGGATATAGCTCCCATATATATCTTCATCCGATTTCGGGTTAATTGTGCACCAAATGGCCGATATAAGTCGAAATGGACTGAATTTTAGTACATCGGACCAAATTCAGCCTAGAAGCAAGTATATCAAATTTAGTGAAAATCGGTTCAGATATAGATATAGCAACCATATATATGTTTCATCCGATTTAGTGTTTTAGTCCCTTACATTCGTAATATTCACTCCACAACCGTGATATTTGGTACCAGGTATTAGATGGAGCACAGGAATAGCTGTTTTAAATTTTGTCGAAATCGGTTCAGATTTGGATATAGCTCCCATATATATCTTCATCCGATTTCGGGTGATTGACCACCAAATGGCCGTAATAGCATCAATTTTGGCAAATCCGACCGAAACCAGCTTAGAAGCAAGTACACCAATTTTAGTAAAAATCGGTTCAGATATAGCTATAGCTCCCATATATATCTTTCATCCGATTTGGTCTTTAAGTCCCTCACATTCGTAATATGCACTCCACAGGAATGATATTTGGTACCAGATATCAGATAAAGCCCAAAAATAGTTGATTTTAATTTTATTAGAATCTGTTCCGATTTGGTTATGCCTCCCATATATATCTTCATCCGATTTCGTGTTAATTGTGCATCAAATGGCCAATATCAGCCTAAATCACCTGAATTTTCGTACATAAGACCGAATTCAGTCTAGAAGCTAATACGTCAAATTTGGAGAAACCCGGTTCAGAGATAGCTATAGTTCGTAAAATGCACGATAGAATTAGATAGATTTTGATTTTGTACCAAATATCTCATAGAGCTCTGAAATGTCCTGTATAAACCTTTTTACGAGAGCTCTACTAAATATGCATAGTGGTGTAGGGTATCATATAGTCGGCCCCGCCCGACTTTTGAGCTTTCTTTACTGGTTTTACTTGTTTTTTAAGAACTTGTTTGCTAAAACTATAATTGTGGAATTTTCTATTTGTATGTTGTTCTTGCACCCACCTGCTCCAGGAGAGTTCGATTGTGGTTTATTTTTGCTATTTCTTTTGAAACATCCTTCTGGTTTTTCTATTGTTGCCAATGCCGGAAATGCGGGCACAGCAGATTGTGGTGGATAATTAGGAATGGTGTGTCGTTTTGTTGAGGTATCCTCCATTTTTTCTCGACAATACTTATGGCATATTCTGACTTGTTATGAAAAGAGTATCCAAGCGTAGTACCGTATCACAGCAACGCAAGAATTGTGACTGATTGTCTTATGGATATTGTTATTGTTTTAACAAGCCGTTATTTCATTGCAATAATATGTTTGTCACTTGTGAAAGTTATCAACAAAAGTATTGATAAATAAATATTATCATAAGTTAACTTTATAACTGAAACCGTTATATACAAATACACATACTATGTGCATAAAAAACATAAAGTTGATCAAAACCAAGAATAAGGGTTGTATAAATCTGAGTTTCAACAAATAAAAAAGCAGTAAGTTCGGCCGGGACGGGGGGGTGTACGATATTGTGGATCTATAAAGATAAATCTATGGCTGCGTGTATAGTACTCAAAAGGAACTCCTTGTGTGGATTTTCAGATAATTCAATTGGAAAAAGTGGCTAAAATCATCAAAATACCTAATGTAGGGGAGTACCGTTATATGGGGGATATACGATATTGTGGACCTATATAGATAATTCCGTTTCAGGGGTAAAGTGCTCACAAGGGACTCCTTTTGTGGAATTTCAGACAATTCCATTGAAAAATGTGGCTAAAATCATCCAAATGCCGAATACCAGGTGGTACCGTTATATGGAGGCTATACGATATTGTGGACCTATATAGATAATTCTCTGCCGAGGTATAAAGTACCCACAAGGAACTACTTGTGTGGATTTTCAGACAATTCCATTGAAAAATGTGGCTAACATCATCAAAATACCGAATATCGGGGGTACCGTTATATGGGGGCTATAGGATATCGTGGACCGATATAGCCCATCTTCGAACTTGACCTGCATGCAGACAAAAGAAAGATCTGTGCAAAATTTTAGCTTCCTATCTTAATTCGTTTAGACTGTAGCGTGATTACAACAGACGGACGGACGGACGGAGAGACGGACAGATGGACGGACAGGGTTAAATCGTCTTAGAATTTTACGCTGATCAACAATATATATACTTTGTTGGGTCTAAAATTATTATTTCGATGAGTTACAAACGGAATGACGAACTTAATATACCCTCCATACTTTTTTTTTGGTGGAGGGTATAAAAATATGTACTGAACGTCCTCTTTACTGGCTTTAATGGTTTCTATTGATCCTCACACGCCTACTTATTACTTGACGTACGCTCGATGTTTTTATACCCTCCATCATACTATGGAGGGTATATTAACTTTGTCATACCGTTTGTAACTCCTCGAAATATTCATGTCAGACCCTTCTTGATTAGCGTAAAATTCTAAGTCGATTTAGCGAGGTCCGTCTGTCTGTTGTAATCACGAACAAATTCAGATGGAAGGCTAAAATTTTGCACACATGTTTCTTTTGCCAGTAGGCAGGTTAAGTTCGTAAATGGGCCATGTAGGTCCACGTTTTCATATAGCCCCCACATAACGGTACCTCCCAATATTCGGTATTTTGATGATTTTAGCGACATTATTCATCGGAATTGTTTCCAATTTGGCATTTGAAGTTCGAAATGGGAACTACAGTCTGTGACAGAAAATTGTGTATGCAGGTCCAGGTCTTCGTATAGGCCCCATATATCAGTACCTCCCTATATTCGGTATTTTGACGATTTTAGGTACAATACTCACCGAAATTGTTTGAGATATCGTATTTTAAGTTCGTAATGGATGCTACAGCCTGTGACAGAAAATTTTCTATGCAGGTCCAGGTCTTCGTATAGCTCCGATATAACGGTTCCCTATATATGGTATTTTGATGATTTTATCTACATTATTCACCGTTTATTTCAAGTTTCGAATTTGAATATGGTATGGTAAGCCAATATAAACCAATATAACGGCTATATTCAGTATTTTTAGGGTTTTAACAGAATTTTTAACGGATTCTGTTTTTTGAAATTTTTCAAATTCGTTCCAAATGGTGGAGGGTATTCAAAGTTCGATTTACTGTTTTCTAACTTGTTTTTTATTTGTTATATGAAGCTCTACTAAATATGCAGAGAGGTGTAGTGTATCATAAAGTCGGCCCCGCCCGACTTTTGGACATTTTTTACTGGTATTTATTGCTTTTAAAAAATATGGAAATATTATAAGAATATTATTGTTGCGATTATTAATGTACAAATATTTTTCTGATTTATATAACTTTGATTAGTAATTTATTTTCATTGAAATTGCGAAACATTCATGTTCAAATAAATATAAAAATTAAAAAATTTCCTCGAGCGTAATGCGGTTAAATAATAAAGGATTAACAGGTAAGAGACCCCTTATATACATTAATCTTTATAATGCCAAAAAATGCTGCTATATATTTATTTATACGTATTTATGTATTTACACTTAAGAGATTAATTAAAAATGCAGTATTTGGGGATAAGTTAATATTGACAATTGACAAGTTTTCGAAACTTTGCCAAACATTCACGCAAGGTGTTTTTCTTTGTTTCCGGCAATGCGGCTATGGCCACGACAAAAAACACCACTGACAGCCCACCCAAAGTGTAGAAGTATGGCGGCAAATCGTAAACATTGTAACTCCAAGGCTCAGAATGTACGGCTATGACTAAGATGTGAATAGACATCTCCGCAATGAAGGTAATGGCCACATAATAGGGTTTTACGGCCAATGGAAATGCCTCCGTTAGATAAACCGAAGATGATGCTGTCGAAATGCCGGCAAATAATTGATACGCCATCATTAGGAACATCACAACTGTCATTGTGCCGCTGTCTCTTACACTAAATTCGTCATTAAGGACACCAGCAAGGCTGAAGCATAGGCAGGAACAACAAAAGAATCCAAAAATCATTGGAGTTTTACGACCCTTTGAGTCGATTGTAAAGGTAACGATCATGGTTCCGATCCATGCCAAGAAACCATATACATTATAGGCCCATGTGGCGTCGTATTTAAAGGCAATCGATACGGCATAGGAAAATGCAAAGTAGGTATAGAAGCAAGAACTAGCAGCCGAAAATACACGATAAAATGATAACTTCAGAAGTGCAGGAAATCCGATAATGGCGCTTTGCAACAGTGTCTTTTCCCTACTTTCGGCCAAATAATGTTTGTGTTCCATTAGCTGTTCATAGGTCTCGTGGGTGACTGTAAATGGTCGCTGTAGCCGTCTTAATATGTCGATTGCCATCTCTTCCTGACCACGTGCTAAATAGAAAATCGGCGATTCCAATTGAAGGAAAAAGGCCATGAAAAAACTTAAGAATCCCCAGAAAATCGAAAGAATACCCATCATTTGGGCGCCATCGAATGAGGCATCCTGTGGCCAAATATACGAATAGATGATCTGCAGAAATACACCCAACTGAAGGCACATCGAACCGACGGCGGCGGCATTCATGCCACGCAAACTTTTCACACATTGTTCGCCCACCAGAACAAATGTCAGGGGAAATACCAGACCCAAGGCACAGCCATTGATGTAACGTGCTGCCAACAGGGCATTCAATGAGCGTGGATCTGCCACCAACAGTATGCCCGAGACGGTTACCAACAATGAAGCGAAACACTGGAAAAATCAAAATTTGTTTGAATAAATGCGACAAAAATGTATTGGAACTGCGAAACTTACCGTTATTAGTTTCTTTGGTATTCGGTTACAAATAATGGCGCCCAAAATAACACCAACTATTGCTCCAATGAACCAACTCATTGGCAAGTGTTTGTTGGTAAAGTAAGCTCTTGGGCCTGGATCACCCAAGAACATACCACCAGAGGTGAATATTAAAGCCGCTAGAACAAAAGACAAAAAAATTATTATTAAGGTGTAACGCGGATAAATATTAGTGTGTAAACCTACTATAAGAATATCGAACAAAAAACACATTGCCGATATTATTAACAAATGATGTGAGTTTCACTTTTGGGAGTGTTTGGGTCAGTCTATTCCTAAGGAGTAAATGCTTAGCTTAACTTCTACAACACAAGCATTGGTCATTGAACCTTGAAAATACATTTCTTATATACAGGGTGAGATGAAAAAACTGCAAACAACTACAGACTGCTGTCATTTCTTAGCCACTCGTCCGACAACTATTAAAATTATTCCAGTGACAGCTCATTATATTGCTTACAAGCGAACAAAAGCATTTTGGTGAGAATTTTCCAGAAAAAAAGTTATTCGTGATGGAATTCAAGGGTGATAGTGTGATTTCTTTATATTTGGCTGGAAACCCACAAGTGGCTATCGGTAGAGCACTCCAGCATTTAAATGTGAATAGATCTTTAGTGTCTCGTACCGTGATGCTGGTAGCTTAGCCCGACGTCAAGGAAGTGGACGGAAGAAAACAGCAACATCAGAAGAAATGGTTTGAAAAGTAAAGAAGCGACTTGATTGAAACCCACCTCGCAGTGGCCGAAGAATGGCTCGTGAGCTGAACATATCGCAATATTCCATTCGACAAATATTGAAAAATGAGTTCGGGGTAAAGCCATTGAAATTCCAATAAGTACAAGAACTTACACTGCAACAGAAAGAAAATAGACTCAAAAGGGTTAAAGAGTTGCTTCGCTTGGCCGAAAGTGGTGAACTCCGAATTCGGTTTTCTCCGATGAGAAAATATTTGTCGTCCAGCAGTTTGTAAACAAGCAAAATGATCGTGTTTACGTGCCACTGAGCTCAGCTGAAAATGTGCACCTCCGGTTGGCCACCAGAATACAAACGCCGCCCATGGTGATGGTGTGGGCCGTCATAACAGCCGATGGTCGCACTTCGCTAGTATTAATCGACCGTGGAATCAAAATGAATAACGAAAACTATCGCGTAAATATTCTGGCGGGTGTATTAAAGCCTTGGGCACACAGACATTTTGGCCGCAAACCTTAGACATTCCAACAGGACTCAACACCAGCACACTCAGCACGCGCCACCCAAGAATGTTTACAAAGTGAGGATCCTCGCTTTATTTCCAGCGCACAACGGCCACCAAAATCTCCGCATACCAATCCGTTGGACTATTGTGTCTGGAGTATTTTGGAAAGCAAGGTTGGCACTAAAAAATACCAAAGTGTCGATCATCTCAAGCAAGCGCTTCGCCGGGAATGGGCCAAAATACCGCAGAGCAACATTCGGGCAGCGTGTGACAGTTTCATTGGCCGTTTGAAGGCCATAATTGGTGCCAAAGGTGACCAATTCGAACAAATCTAAACTTATTCTAAAATTTGATGCTATTTCCGACATTTTTTGTTTTAATTCAATAAAATTAAAAAAAAAAATTAAAAATTATGGTGTTTGACTTTGTTGTAGTTTTTTATCTCACCCTGTATATGGGAGCTATAGCTATATCTGAAACGATTTTCAGCAAATTCGATGTACTTGCCTCTAAACTAAATTTGGTCGGATGTGACAAAATTTAGGTCATTTGGACTGATATTGGCCATTTGGTGCACAATTAACCCGAAATCGGTTGAAGATATATATAGGAGCTATTTCTAAATTTGAATCGATTCTCAAAAATTTTATTAGGGTTCGTCCTTGGGCCAAACAAATATTGTTTGGAAAATTTCATCTTAATTGGATAATAAATGCGACCTGAATTTTTTTACAAAAGTACATGGACAGACGGACGGAGGGGGGACTGACATGCATAAATCAGAAAGTGACTCTATGAAGAATCAAAATGAACTTTGGGTCTATCTAGCTTCTTTATCCATGTTACAAAGAAATGCACAAACACATAATACCCTTACCGCTATGTGGTGTACCGTTATATCAAGACTACTTCCCAAACTTAATTTTTATACCCTCCACCAAAGTATGAAGGGCAAATTATGTTTGTCATTCCGTTTGTAACACCTCGAAATATACATTTTAGACCTCACAAAGTATATATATGTTCTTGATCAGCATAAAATTCTATGTCGATTGAGTAATGTCCGTCCGACTGTATGTCTGTGAAAATCACTTTAGCCTCCGAACGAATTAAAGTAGGTTGATAAAATTTTACTTAAATGTATATTATCTCTGCTGCTTTTTGGTATTGAAAATGGGCCATGTAGGTCCACATTTTGGTATAGCCCCCATAAACGCCACCTCCCGATATTCGGTATTTTGATGATTTTAGAGACATTGTTCACCGGAATTGTTTCAAATTTGGCATTTCGTAATATATACTACAGCCTATGACAGAAAATTGTCTGTGCAGGTCTACGTTTTGGTATATATATATATAGACCCCAATATAATGGCTACATTCGGTACTTTTAAGATTTTTACAGAATTTTTAACGGATTTTATTTTTTCTTAATAATTCCTAATAACTTTATTTTGGGCTTATGGTCAAAGGTCAAGGAAAAACATAAGTGTTTTGTTTTTATAATTTTGATTTCCGATATTTCGACTGTCTTCGACAGTCATCTTCAGGGAAATTTTTTTTATTAAGAAAAGCAACAGTCTTGTTTCACTGAGTTTATTTTTATTTTTTTGAAAATTGCCAAATTCGTTCCGAATGGTGAAGGGTATTCAAAGTTCGGCCTGACCGAACTGACAGCTTTACCAAATATCAAGATTTTAATTGTATCCGTTCACGATATACCAAAAAGTATGAAATTAAGTGTTTTTCAGTATTTTTAGTACAACTCTAGTTCGAATTTCCAAAAAACCCAGCCTTATTTCTTATCGACTTATGGTGGTCGGAAAATAACTACTTTTTTATACAAAATGTCCCCGTTATGACAATGAGTTGGTAATAAAATTAAATTTTTCGAAAAATATAAAAAGATTCCAGCGCCAAAATAACAAATGCAAAAAAAAAAATTAAGGTTTAAATAATTAAAAATCAAAGAATATTTTGCAAACTTTATGATAAATACAGAATGCCTTTGAACTTTTCATCTGAAAGCCTGTTAATACCAAAACAGCGATAAAGTTATATATCTGAACCTATTTTCACCAAATTTTAAGTTCTTGTTTCCAGGGAATTCAGTTGGAATTTCCAAGATTCAGTCAATTAGGGTTGATTTTAGCCATTTGGTGTAGAATAAAGTCTTAAAGCCTGTAAATACCAAAACAGCGGTAAAGTTATACGGGGCCTTAAGTGAACCATTCTTAAAACTGTTTTCAAATTAACGCTCAAACTCAACCTCTCAATTCCCATTAAAAATAAGCGGAAAACATGATGTTTAGGGCTTTTAAGAGAAACAAATAATTTCATATCATGGGCCGGATTAATTTGACTCAAATTTCCGCTAATTGTTTATATGTCTCTATTTAAATGTTAAAATTATTAATATTTATGATTTGCTCATTTTTTGATTAGAAAGAGTTTACAATTGATTGTTTGCTACAAAATGGGAAAGCAATAGCAGATTTAATCTAATCTGAGTTGGTATATATATTGCGTTCTTTGTTTGTTTTTCTGTATTCGATCCTTACAAAATGTATAAGTTAGATCCTTACGTGATAAGGTATCAAAAAAAATTTGGATCAACGTGATCCTTACGCGACACTTTGTCAAAAAGGGCTCGCGATTTAATGTTATCCTGTAAGTTGCAATTATCGAAATTGCACATACCGCTGTCTTTTATTACGCGTCACTTTATCAAAAAGGATCGCGGACTACTTTTGATCCTGTAAGTTGCAATTATCGAAATTGAACTTACTGCCGCTTTTATTATTAAAACCACGATTTTTCTATTTATTAAAATCAACTTTATTGGTTGGCTGCTGATCAAAGAGTGTCTTAAAAACTACATTACAATATTCGAGTAAGAATTAAATTTTAAAATTTAAATTTAAAATCATGCCACTCTGTTGTTTAAAATTTAGTTGCTGTTATCAAAAACAATTCTTATTAATTTCGTCTACACGCGTAAAGCATTGCATGGGTTGACGAAGTCAACTACCGGAAATGCATTTTTTGGGTTCATTAAAATTAATCGGAATTTGATGTTGGGAAAATATTTGGAGCAGACAAACGTCTGCAATGCAGATTCATGAGAATTGATTGCTTTGGAATAATTATTAATAAAAGAAACTATACTTTATTGGATTAACAACTTATTGTGTGTTAACTTATATATGTTCGATTCAGCCAAATGGATTGTTTTAACAAAAACAATCCCATGAAAGATATCAGTTGATTATAAAGTTTTGATAATTTATGTTTATAATATATTTAAGAAACAAATAAAAAAGTATCGGTCGGTTTTGCCGGCAGATGTCTACCCTCAGCCAATGTTTGATTATTTTAAAATATTTTGTCTTCTGTTATGAATTTTCAAACTCTTGACCCTCAATGGAGTGGGTTTTGAAAGAATGGGTCAATATTGTCCATTTCGTATCTGACCTAAATAAATATGGCATATATATAATAAAATCGAACATTTATACCCAATTTATGGGAAATCATGATTTCCATATTAATCTCAGGATTCTGGATGAGAGACATTTATTTAGATATAGCAAGTTGTAAAGAATCGCTGAGTTGTTTCACAATTTATGACAGACAAAAAATATTGAACATTTTGTCCCTTTGCGTGTGAGGAACCAAAAGGGGTTCGCAGATATATAGCATCTTCACAACAGATCTTGTGTTAGCAGGAATGTTTGTATGTGTGAAATTTGAAGAGGGTTGGATTCATATTTGTTTTTTTCAGCGTTATGGTTTTCAAAATTTTGAACCCTATGTGGGGCAGGAAGCAAAAGAAATGGTCCGATCTATACCTTCTTTATAACAGATCTTGTGTTGATGGAAATATTGAGATGTACCATATTTGGAATGGAATTGGATGTT